AGAGATTGCGGAAGCATTGCATTCTTCGTCAATTATATATTGAATAAGCGTCGTCATGTTCCTTTTGTACTAACCATAATAATGCATTTCATCGATTTACCGTCGACAAGTTCTGGAGGTCCGTTGACGACGAAAGGCGTCACTTGCCAAGAACAATAAGTCCTAATAGCTTTAGTAGATTTACTTTATTCCAATCGTTCACTGTTCTTTTATTACTTCATGTACTTTATTTTCTGCACCAATTGATCTGGGTGGACTTTTAGAATTTTTTATAAGACTAGTCTATAGATTTTATAAACATTTCTTTTATTTTTATCCATATTTTTTTAATCAAATAATTCTTAACCAATATCAACTTTGGCATTTCATCGTTGCCGGAACTTAAAATCGGATCTAAAAAAATTCCAAGAAACTGTGAACTTTGTTAGAAGGTTATATTGACTGATGGAAGGCAAATGTGAAATAGTTTGTAATAGGTTTACAAGATCGTGATGTATGTAATTCTTTTCTATAAAGAATGTAATGAGTTTTTAGTCCATCTGATTAATTCTGAAGCATGTTAGGCTAATAAAGTAAAACGTAAGCGGTAGAGTTAAATTCTGTCAATCTATATCTTAAAGATGTGTCTCGATTCCCTCTACTTTGGCTTGTATGAAATTACGAAATATTTCATTTATGAGAAATAATTATTTATAAAATGCATTTTATATCTAAATTAACTGAGATTTTCATAAAAATTTGTTTATTTTTATGAAAAATATTATTTTTAAATATTATTATATATTTATTTATTTTTATGATTAATATTATTGTCTTTACCGAAAAAAAGGATCATAGTGAAAGGCAACAGTCTTTTCTATCTACTTAGAAAATCGATATTTTAAATGTTACGAAAACCCGTCATTAATTCTTTTCCTTTCTTTCAGGTGAGTACAAATACTTATTAAGGATATCAAGCCATTAAACATGTATAAAGAAGATGGCTGAAAAAATGGTATAGTATTGTTAATCTCGTGTCCTGTATTAAGTGGTAAGAAAGACGCGCTTATAACAACGATTAACTGATTAACAACTGTATTTAAGAGTAGAGTAACCATCCATTTTTTTCTCGTGACTAGATGCAATTTTTTAAAGAGACCTTTTAACGAAGCTGACATAAGAATTTTTACTTGCAATTTTCTAAGATGGAAGGCGAGGGGTGCCTAGTATTCACGATTAATTGTTTTGCAAGGCTCTTTATTTAGAAATCGAATGCTTTCTTTACCCAAGAGAAATATCTAAAAGCACGTGCCTCTTCTCCAAATGTTTCTAGCTCTTTTAGCCTGTTTTGACAACTGCGTCTGTCTTTCTTTGAAATACAGCAGTATTCTAAATTTCTTTATGCACATAAAGGCCTGATGCTAGTCAGGGTAAAAGAATTTCGATTTATTCTTTGTGTTTACTACCTCTTTATAAATATAAATAAAATAAGGAAAAACATTGTTGAAACGAAAAAGGCCAATTTCATCGATTGTTTACTGTAGCTCCAGCGTTCGTTTTCGTGCTTTCTGTGTATATTGTAATGGGCTAGAATCGTTTAACGAACATAAAAACGTTTATCGGATCGAATTATACTGCCAAAATTCAATAAAGATCATCCACGCTTTATTGAATGGCCCCTGAATTGCTATAAATCACTAGGCGATGCTCCAGTTGATGAACGCTTGTTAACCGAAGGATGAAGTGTTAGTCAGTCCATTAATACGCTATTGATTTGTTTTACATATTCTACATTCCTAATATGAATTATAAAAGATCGTGTTTTCCGGCTAATAGGATTCCTGTGCTTGCAGTTTTATTTTTGTAGAATCAGAACTTTCCTTTATTTTAATTCGATTTTTCTCAGAGTGCCATCTATCGTCTTTGAGTAGTGAACTCAAAAGTGAATCGTACAAAGAGAGGGCGTTGTTAATTTTCATATTTAAAATGAATAAATCAATTTTTTAACGTACAACACTAATGACAACTGAAATTTTGAAGGGTACGTGATAATCTGCTTTATCACTTGTTTTCATATTAGGCATATTTGCAATAAATTAACTTCGTCCTATTGAAATCGGAACCCAACAACAAGGCTGTTTGATTCGTTAGAGAAAGCTTAATTGTTGTGGTGTATAGGATAAAAGCGGGGTGTGGAGACTATTTCAATACTATTCGTCGCCTGATACGTTTCTCCCGCCTACTTCTCTAAATGTCATCACACAAACTTTAGTATCTCTAAACGAATGAATCCTGCCACTTTTCGGAATTCTGCAATGGCTGTTAATGAAGGGAATTATCTGCGGTTACGGTCCCATACCATAAGTGTTACCAGAATGAAACCAAGTAAACCGACTGGTCTAGTTTTAACTAGAACTCGCACAAAGCAATGGTTAGTTATCATTAAATATGCTATTTTATTATTAACGCTCCATCTCGACTTTATAAAGATAGTTTGATTAAAAATTTCACCGTTAGCCAACCATGAAACTGTTAATTTTACAGTCGAAAAATTCCACTCAATTTAAATGATTACTTTCATAGTTCTAGCTGTTCATTACTTATTCTATGCAGTTCTAGATAAATTGAAAATTTTATTTCTATCTTATCTAGAGTATTTCTACCTTTTTCTTTTTATACATTTTAAGATTAATTAGTCTGCTCAGAATGTAACTTTTACTAAAATCATTAGAAGTGTTTTCTTCTCTGCTTGAGGGTATAAACTATATGAAAGTATATTGTATATCCTCTTTATTACAAGCGGTTTAGAGTTTCATTTTGGTGGAAGGAATTGCAGAGTAAGATGAAGAAAAACGTGCGATACACGCATGCTTTCTATAATTTACAATGGTATTTGTTGGATTTCTATCCTTGAATTTGGAAGATGTTTTCCATCAGCAAAAGTTAAAGAGTATGCATTCACATTGTATTTAGAAGCGTAATCTTATCTTTCTCAAGTTCAAATATTTGTTTTGTTTTAAGTATTCCTAACTAATATTTTAAATTGAGTATTTCAAAATATACATTTTATCGAGAATAATAATTTTAATAATACAATTTTGCATGTAAGTTGTATTGATAAATGAAAGATGCAGCCAGGTAGTAAAGCAATACATTGATAATATCAAACTTTTTCCATAGCAGATTAATTAAATTGAATTTTCATCAACATTCTTTACCAAATTTTTTTTTAGGAAAATGAGAATATCAGTCTTGTATCTGTCTTTCACTGTTCAGTTGGAGTCAATTAATTTAGATTAATTGGATTTTTTTGTCTCCCTGTTGGATTCGATTAAATACTCTGCATATATGTAAAAACTTCATATATTGAAGCAGACGGAAATGTCGATGTTAATAATGACTTGTACTGAGGAAAACAGATCATTGACCCCAGCTCTTTTCAGTGAACAATCTTTTTAAAATCTTGTCATGGTGTGAGCTTACGCAAAAAATTGGCAAAAATTTTTAGTACAGGACTGAACATTTCATCATATAAATAAACTATTTTATTAAGACATTTCTGGATATCATATTAATGAACAGTGTCATAACAACTCTTTTATCCTTGCTAATTGAATTATTGATGAGTTAATTCAGTTTTTGAAACTGATACATACATATATAGGTATCATGTGTATTTATCTATAAAATCGTAAAAACAACGTAAATTTTAAAGGTGAATAATTTGTGTGTTTCCCTCAACGTTTTTCTTTATTCTTTTGTCTAGTTCTGAGTTTAACGGTAGATGGCACAACTAGTTGACGAAATTTATTGTCTTTTTAAATAATACTTTTGATAATGCATATCTCTATACTGAAGGTTATTAACAAAACCCACCGTATTCACATAGTAATACTCATGAAATATTTTAATGCAAGAAACAATATTCATGTTGCTATTCAAAAAACTTACTTGAGAAGTATTAAGCGCAAAGACGGTCATTTCCGCAGCTTTGCCTATTACTTAAATTTTTAGTTCACCTGTCTAACGAATGACGTCAGTGCGACCTTTAAACGCTGTCTTTTTGCATTGACATAATGTAGATTGCTGAAAGCGTCGTTTCGCTCTCTTTTAACGATGTACAAGAACGATTTTTGCTAATAATAAGACTTCTGTCGATCGCACCTGGAAGCAAATAGACGTCGCGGTACATATGTTTTATTTTATCGAACAGTACACCGTATAGTTTGTATGGTTAATCGACTGACAGTACATGAGTCTCACGATTCTTTATGGGGTTTTAATCGGGCAGTTTAAAAATTACTACTACTAATAGATGAATAAAATGATTCCAATTGCAAAATATGAGCATTTTAGGGTATTAAAAAAGTTATAGTATTCCTGCGAAAGGTTAAAATGTAATCGAATTATGAGCTTCCGTCTTGGCTTTTATTGCTTGGAGAGTTTCGTGATCCAAATTTAGAGCATGAAAAAATTGTTATTTTTTAGCAGAAAGTATTTTACTTTATCCCATGGTGACGTTGAATACTTTTAAGTTTGGTAAGTTTTTGGGATTGCTTAGTACCTAAAAAGCTATTTACTGAAAGCAAGATTTCGTTATACGAACATCAAAAAAAGCCTGTTGGCCAATCTGTTTGCTTAATAGGCTCTTTGTCTGCGTGCGTAGTGAAACTGTTTTCCTTCTTCTCTCTATTTCAATAAAAACTGTAAGACAGGAAAGGAAAGACAAATTGTAGGAGACGATTGAACTGGCAACAAAATGGAAATTATATGACGATTTGAAGATAAGGTTGTTTAGATAATATGAGAATTATGACAGGCGTTCACTAGGCCTGGATTTGTGCAAAGGCTGTACTTGCCTCCGCGACGCCGCCGTCGTCAATAGTTCGACAAGTACAGCTTTAGACGCTCGTCTGCAAGCCGTTCGTTTCTTTTTGCGCATTTCTCCGCCAAAGTAAGAGGATGGCAGAAAACATTTGCACTTCATCAGAATCAGATTCCTGTGACAGAAAAAAAGAGAAAATGAGAAGGAAGAGGAAAGCGAAAAGACCAACATTTGTCCCCATAGCAGTAAGGGAATTTCGACGCTATAGTGCTCCTTTTGGAGATTCACTGAAACCTTTTGGTGAAGTCGTTCGGAGAAGGAATTCAATAAAATTAGAAATAACTAGTTTGAATAATCTCGGACAAAAGAAATTGGAAAAAAGGGGGTCGAGAGACCGTGTGATGGTCCTTCCCAGTTCACTAAGAAGAGGCTCAGTCACTCCAAGAGCAGCTTTCTCCCCATGGTGAGTGCGATTCTGGTATTACGATTGGACCTTTTAAAAACATTTCAAGGAATCAGTTTTTGAAAATTTCTTGTGATCTTCAACTTTAGATCACTTTTATTTTTCCAGTAGGAGAGAATGATCGGTAGAGCCATCTACATGATTTAAAAAAAATAACGAAGTGGTTTGAAGGCACTCATGTGGCCAATAAGCAAACCCAATTATATTAACATGGTCAATAATAACCCTAGCGGACTTTCTAAGCTATATCATAATAGCCTCATTCGTTATTTAAATTTTGTGGTGATATTAAAATTTTTTTTAGAATCTCATTTTTCTTAGTAAGAAACGTTTGTGAAAATGACGTCGCGACTGAAACAGCTGTTGTTCTTTATATATACGTCAGACTTCGTAACGCCATTAAACTATATCTTTGCTAGCTAAGATACAACACGAATTCCAGTTAATGTCTGGCGAAAATCAGCCAAAGTCAATTAAAACTGAAAAGAGGGTATATAGGGTGAAATATTGCAGGAAAATAGTGCAGTTTGATATTTACATGACCGTGTACAAACATTTTTGGTTACGTGATGAGTGTTACTGGATGGTGGCTTCTAATATTTTGGTAGAAAATTTGTTAGAGAATAGCTATCGATTTGTTGTTACAGCTCTATTTTTTTGACGTTTACGCTGTGCTTAATTAGCCGTCACTCCATCTCGGGTATTTCTTTTCTCTCTACACCGGTAAACCTTAGAGTGAATTCTATAATAAACAGAAATAATCGACCTAAATATTCAGAAAAGCAAATAGACAATATTCAGGTGTGTACATACACAGGAGCTATTGCACAGTAATAAGATCTAGGCTACGCTTTGGTGAATGATAGCCACATCCTGAAGTCGGGTTACCTGCACGTATATATATAAAAAGAAAGCCGGCTCCAGTCATCATTTTGAAGCCAGCGCCATATGGCGACGTTTCTCATCATCTGTTGCAGGGAGTTCTCAATTTTGCTGCAATTCTTCAATAAAGCTATCTATTAAATTATTTAAATGCTTATTACGTCGGTCAGGAAAGAAATGGCCGATTCAAGTTATAAAAAGGATAAGCGGTACTACATCATCGAAAATCAAAGGATAAGTTCAACACATCATGGTAGGATAGAAAGATCTATCTCAGAAGGGCACGAAAAATATAGACCGAATCGATGTAGAATATCTCCTCCTGTAAAGTACCAAATGAAAGAGCTAAGGAACATAACTGAAACTGGCAGCCTGTTACAACGTCGTCTTGGGGCCACTCCTTTGAGGATGCGGTTGCCTCAGAGGTGACGTTTTAACCTTATCTTCCTTCATCTGATGCTTTTTTTCACATAATATGGTAAAAACGTGTAAAAAGTAAGAGAAGTATTTCGCAGCATTCTATAAGCCTCTTAACAAGAGCCTACACGCATCTGTGAATAAATATCCTAATGGTATAGGTCTAGTATCCTATGTTTTTTATTATTATGGAATATCACGTCATTAGAAACTTTTTTGATTCCTCTTCTCGTTAGAGCTATTATGATTCAGAAAAGAGAATTTTGTTTGTAAACAATATGTTTCATGACAAACACAACATGTTTTTTTCACTTTGTGATCGAAAAGAATTCTTATATTTTGAACTAAATGTTGCATCGTATTTCAACAAACGAACTCTAGGAAATATCCAACGTATTCTTGGTGGTCTAATGCATTATTAAATCGATTGAGTATATCCGGTTCAATTCGATCGTTCGTATATACAAACACAAAAAAAATTATTTTTAACATGTTTTTCTCCCTACTTAATTGAAAGCGAGAATGCTTTGGAAAGAAATTTATAAGCGTCTTGTTAGTCTAAAGCATACACAGCTGAAACATTGGGCTGTGCGCAATTACAGTGGTTTGTGCGCCTCGTTGAGCTATATACCATCATTCTAATTTTGATTTGATGTTATGCTTATCATTATTGTGTGTTGTCATTCGTAATACGATTTTCTAGAGAATTGACGTGTACGCCTATTATATTTTAATCCTGCTTAATTCCAAGCGTCAAAATCAAGTCAATTTTCTATGATATTACAATATTTCATAACAGATGGCGCAAATTTAAAAAAGAAATGCCACCTATAGTTTATTAAATGTAGGCCACCGCAATTATGCCCAGGGTTGCTAATTGTTTATCGATTTCTATCTAAAACAGCTTCGATGTTGAAAATGGAGCATCACCAAGTAGGAGTCCGCTGGATGGCAGCAGCCCGTCTTCCGCTCTTGTTCTGCAGAACATGCCCCAAAGAAGAGAATCTTTCTTATACAGAAGTGATTCCGATTTTGACTTGTCACCAAAATCTCTATCGAGGAATTCATCACTAACGAGTGATTTGTAAGTATTTTGTATATTTATCTTTCAAAACTCGTAGAAATACTCGACTGATCGAAGTCTTCGGGAAACCCTTTTAACTTTTCCGCCCGTCAACTTGGTCAGTTCTAATTATTTGACATAAATAACAAAACAAAATAATTCGGATCTGAGAGGTTAATGATAAAGCGTGTGAGAAATAAATAATGTGTTGACATTTCGCATGACAAGATGCTTTTATCTATCTTCTCACGTTCATCATTTTTGTAGGAACGTCATCACAGCCTCTAAGCAGTGAGTTCTTTTTAAATCCCACCCAAAAGTTTTGCAGAATTCGTTAATATTCTAGTTGATGTGCAAACACACAACAGTGCAAGTTTTTGTTCTTTTTTTCTAATTTTTATTTTCCTGAAAAGGGAAGGCATGGTGTTTTAAATTCTGTTTTCCTTAGAAACTTAACATATTAGTTGAAGTAGAAGCAATAATTAATAATTCAAGTTACTTAAATGCAGAGATTGTAGTTAACGAAATAAATTCATCTAAACAAGAATATTTCACACAACTGAGTAGATTTTAAACAGACCTATCTTAATTCAAGTTGGAAATATGAGGTCTTTATGAATTTATTTCCATTTTACGCCTTTGCTAAAATGTACTATTGATACATTCTGAATCACTCAGAATACGAAGCATATGATTATTTCAGCTTTTAAAGAAAACTAATTACTATTCTCTTATTATAGTAATCCGGTTGTAGTATTAGCCACTTGCCCGCCAGATATCGATTAGTAGAATTGGAGACTCGAAATTTGCTTTGACGATTAATTTCGACGTAAATGCTTATCCTTTTGCGAAGGCAGCTAAGAAATCGATCGGTACACCGTAATTCATTTATCATAGCTCATAATAGAAACGTTCGATAGGGATTAATGTCTTGAGTGATTGACGAGATGTGAATGATATAGCTTTTTCACATTTGTTTGAGCTGTTTCAAAATCATATAGCGAATCAATCTGAAACAAAAATATTTGCATCTGAACGTGGCTCATTAATGTAACGTCGTGAGAAAGGGGGCGCATAAGTCAATGTCTTGTGATGGGGATCGCTAAGAATACTCGATTTTAAAAAGTGCATGAGATATTATTCGTTTATTGTTGTATATTTCCACGGAGAAAACTTAAAGTAGTATTGTTGGTGTTTGAAAAGAGCTAATTTTTTACGATTATCAACCCGACACTGAAAATCGCCAAGCGTCTATTGGTAGACGCCATTGGCAGCACATTAGCAAAGAGAACGCATTCGTCATTTGGCAAGTACGTTTTGTAATGACGCCTCTATACAGAAGAAGAGCACATACGGTTGGAACGTCAGGCAAATTAACGGTATCTAGTGCTTATGCTGTAAAACCCGCAGTCAGCTCAGCAACGTTACAAAGTGATGATCAGAAAGTAGCTAGGAGTCAGTCGACTAGTGTAATTGGCTTGCAGAATCACAAGAATAATCACTCGAGATTCTTGTCCAGGTCCAAGAGTCCTATGTGAGTGTTTCTTATCTAATTGCGTTTTACTAGAAAATTGATTGTTATGTGAAAGTCTTATTGATTTTATCCTTCAAATGAGATTATCAAAGTTATTGATACGGATTTATAGCTATTGACAGAATTCCAGGACAATCGGACAACTATAGGGCTAAATATTGGTGTTTAAATGTTAAAATCAACATTCTAAACTATTAGGGTTTCAGGATAACAGCTCCTTGGCAGTCATTTGAATGTCAAATTTCTAAGATCATTTTCCAACAAACGTCGTTTGTAACTTCGTTTATATTTTTCCTCCAATTGTGAGAAGTTATGCAGATTAGCTATAGACAAAAGTATAAGAGTACTTGTTGTTAGAGATAAGGGCCTTATATTAAAAACTATATGCCATAAATATGCTAATACATATAATATAATATAATGCAAAATAGGATATGTAAATGAACAGAAAATACTCAGCGCATTGTACATGCAAATATGGATACTGCTTATCAAACAGTCTAAGAAAAGCAAACTATAGCGAAAGATGAAACCTTAAGGAGATATAGCTTCCTTAATGAATTCTTTCTTGAGGCATCTCGTTGACCTTGCTTACTTTTCGGTCAAACAGAAGAAATTGTTTTTCTAACGATCAATATAAGAGTATTTAACAATGTCAGCAAATAGTTTAAAAGTTTTATTGAAAATATATTTTACGAGTTATGAAAAAAAACATGTATATGCATATAAACAAAAGAAAAATTAATAACCTTACTCAAAATCTGTTACAAAAGTCTATACAATGAGTCCTTTGCAATATTGCAGCAAATACACATGAATGCACTAATGTTTTCATGGTAATTTTTATTTTTGTATTGTGTTTTTATGTATATACGCACATCTATCGAAGGGTCGAAGGAGTGCGCCACTGACGTCATCCGCTCTTCATTTGACTTGGCTATAGTTATCTGTTTGTCTGTTTTACGTTTCGGTTCTGATGTAGGGGTATTTCTTATGGTGATCTATATCTGCTTCTGTAATATAGTTGCAGATCTTCAATTTCTATTCTTATGCACTTTTTCTTTCCTTTATTTTATGTCTTTTTATGTATATAAAGAGGTCTACAAGGAGAATGAAAAAAAGCTTTAAATGTAAAAGTAATGTGATTTGTGACTATTATTAAGAAAAACACGTTTTTTTAGGATACAACCGTCTTTAGGTTTTTATAAAACATTTTATAAAGATTGGTATTTGAAAAGCGGTTTGTTTTTTCCGAGGCATACAGATGGATTGTTATAGCCCTGGAAATCGAACGGGAATTATTATTTTACGCTCTAACGCTGCACTGATAATTTTCATAATTGATCACGTTCTTGCTTCGATTTACTGAAAGGTTCTGGAGTGCAAGACTAAAAAGTGATGAGATTTCAAAATTTTGTCTTACTAAGCTAATCAGCTTTTTAAGTACACCAAGAGAATAGCGCAACGAAAGATGGCGTAGCTTGTAATCTGACGATAGGATAGGAAATTGAACTTTTTGGGGTGATTTATTTTAAGAGCGAAATGTATAATTTATAGCAAATATCGAACGCGAATCGTAAATGCTAGATTAAGGGGTTAATCCAATAAATCCATTCTTTTTATTGTCTTTGGAGTGCCGTTGCTTATATCCCGGACGTGAATGACCTAATCGAGGTAGAATAAACGGCGTTCGATCGACCAACATTCTTCGAGTAGTTGGCTGCGTTGCTAGCGTTTATAGACGTAATCTGGATTAGTATAGCTGTTCTTGTTCACTTTACGTTTTTTAATCGAAAAATCCGCGAAATCAAGCAGTGTGTGAGAGAATGTCTGGTGAACCGCCTTTAAAAAAGGTGCATGTGGTAGGGCATGAACATTTTGAGTATCCTTCTTTTTCTTTGGAAAAAGGAACTAGGTTTGTTTCGAATCTTTATCTCATCTTTTCCTTAGTTAATTATCTTTCTATACGTAAGCATCTTATTCAATATTTACTCAATGTAGTGGTTTATTCGAGCCTATGAATGTGTAACATTATGGCATCAAAGGAACGCCATTACAAGATGCGAAGCCAATGTATAATGAGACCAGTCTTAAATTACAAAAAATACAATCTAATCTGGCGGCAAGTGTGTGACAGTGTAATATTGCTGTTTTACTGTTGCGGAGCAGGTAGAAGGAAATAACACCTGAGAAGGATTTATAAACATAAATTTATATACATAATATACTACTTATAATCAGCATATATAATATAAATATTGTGCTGCATATATATGTATTTATACAAATGAGACTATGCGGAGCTTAGTCAGCGACTTTTCCCACTTTGGTATCATACCACACATATTGACCATTTGAGGAATAATGCTTCCGCTACCCAGTCCTCGAGATCGAGGAGGAAAATCAATAGTGTCACCTACTGCGCTATCTGAAGGTGGATTGTCGCCGGGGGGTGGAGGTGAATTTTGGATATCAACCTTTGCAGCCTCACTCCCTACTCTTTCTAATGGGATTTTTCCATCTAAGTTAGGACAGACAACCACTGTGTCTAGTTTGAAAGAGTTTCATGAGATTAAGCGGGGATTACCAAGACATATTAAATATTCTTTTTGGCATAGGTGAGGGCCGCTTTTCTTTTTTTGTGGTACTCTTCTGTGGTACTGTTTTTTACTATACTACCACTGTTGGCTAAACAACCGCCACCACTTTAAATGTTTTCTTACAACCCTTTCTCAATTATAATTAACGAATTCTTTAATTACATAATGATGTGAATCGATATAGAAGATTATCGATGAGAAATTACCGGTGAATAGTTCTTTCTCTCAACAATTCTTTCATGCCAGACTAGAATAGCACATTTGGTGGCGTGTTGTGCTTCACCTTAGTTTTTGGCCTACTCCGTTCTTTTTATCGAGCGGCATTCAGTACTCTACTTGGTAGGGTAGAATGATTTTATTTTATTCAATATACCACCGATATGAATAATTCTGCGATTAAAGAACGTCGTTTAAACTCAATAGATGTCTGTCTAAGTAAGAGTCTTTCCTTGTCCTGGGCCCAAGGCTTGGATAACGTTTCTAGATCACCCCAGGCTGCAAGAAAGAGTAACTTAGCTAGACCCAATATTCTGTAAGTTTATATTCCCTTTGACGTCACAAGTATCGATGAATTGAGACGCTAGAGGTCACGCAGTGCGCTGCTCTGAATCGTGTAGTGACGTCAATCAATTAGGCGGAAGCATGAAAGTCTCAGGCGGAGAGTGTAGAGATGCTTTTGATTCCAATGATTTGTTATCGGACATTGATAAAAAGAAGAGTCGCTCTAGGCATTGCCTATATGAGCCTAGGTAGGTTTGTAGAGCGGATATCGGGCTAATTAACCCTCGAAACAACGTACTTAATGAAGCTATGAGGACGCCTACCGCGCTATAAACAACGGTTTTAGTATTTTTTTTTTACTATCAAAAGCTGTTTGTAAATTTCTTCTCTTCGTTTTTATAGCCAAGCGTAAAGAATATAATAAACAGATTCAATTTGCTGACGTTTTTATACTACTACAGTTACTTAGAACTAGTTATTATACAGTTTCCCATTTCGTTTCTTCAATTGCAATATGTGTATCACTTACAGCTTCATTTAATTGTCATTTTTCGCCTTTTAGACATGCAGAGGACTTAATCGTAACTCCATTTGCTCAAATTTTGGCGAGTTTAAGAAGTGTTAAGAATAACTACGTATCCCTTACAAATGTAACTCCAGTAAACAAGTAAGAATTTTGAATGTTTTATTAATTTATATCTTCTCTCAATTGGCAAATTTATGGAAAGACGCTTAATAACGTAATTTGAGTGAATCCGTTAGAAGCGAAAGCTGACGTCAGCGTCACCAAGACAACTCCAGGGCTAAGGGCTTAATCGAAAATTCGACGCTCGTTTCCTAGAGCATCGAAGGCCTTCTTATTTTTTTGAAATAAAAAATTGGAGAAATAGACTTAAAGTTTTGATTATATATATACAGTATATAAATATACAGTATAGATATACTGTATATATATATATAAATATACAGTATATATATATATATATGTATAAAATATACACTATATATATACATATATATATATAATAATACAGTATATATATATATATATATAATAATACAGTGTATATGTATAAATTTATATGTGGTATTACTGCACAAAAAATCAAATTTAAAGAATCTACAATTAATTAAAATATCGATTTTGATACATTTATTAACTAGTAGTTTTTTTAGATCTAATCGGAGAGGAAGTTCCATTGGACATCATACAAATACTCACTATGTTACGACAACAACTGCGACCCCTCCTCCTCAGACTAACATAAAGTTATCGGGTGAGCATTCTATTCTTCGATTTACTAAATTATATATTAGATTATTGTGTTTTATTAATTATTTAATTGACAGATGAGGCTTATCAAAAACTGGCTCAGGATACCTTAGAAGAATTGGAATGGTGCTTGGAACAACTGGAAACAATACAGACTCATCGGAGTGTATCAGATATGGCGTCAAGCAAAGTGAGTCCTAAAAATCTTTAGTGAATTCGAATTATTTTAGAATAAAAAACATTGTACATCCAACGATTTACGTTAAAAAAATTGAGCACTAATGCCCTCTTGCGAATAACATAAAACAAAACAATTCTTTGATTACAAAAAAATAGAATAATTTTGATAATTTAAAAATTCTTTACAATTTCCCATTTTTAGAAAATAAAGGTCACTTCGAACAAATTTATTGCTTTCTTAGTATTGAAAGTGTATAAGGAGAAAATATGCTATTGTAAAAATAGCGTATTTTATAGGTCTTTTAGCAAGTGTTACAAAGATTTTATTAACAAATCATCTTGTAGTATAATTAAATTTTAGTATAGCTATCAATGCTAAGCTAGTTGAGATTTGAAGATCTATCTTTCTGAAATTGCGTTTCTACTCCACAGTGTTTTGATTAAAGAATGTCTTTACTCGTCAGAGATTGTCACTTTTATTATAAAAGATATAAAGAGATCTTTTTTCGCCATTTCTCAATAGGTATTATGAGTAAATATGTATTAAATATTTCTTATTATATCAAAAATTAATTTTGAAAGAAATAGTTGAAAGAAATGAAAAGACTTTTTAAAGGTACTATTGATTGTTATATCGATAGATTATTCTTTACTAAAGTTTTCAATTCTGTGAGACAGAGAATTATGATAAAATTTAGCTAAGGAAAAATGTCTATTGTATTAATTTCAAATTATTAATTAGAAACTAAATACAGCACACTCTCCAATAAATACTTACTTTAATATTTCTCTGTATAGTTTCTATAGTGAAAGAATATTTATAACTTTTTACTTTTTATAGTTTAAGCGTATGCTAAATCGTGAATTGAGTCACTTTGCCGAGTCAAGCAAATCCGGAAATCAAATATCCGAATATATTTGCAGCACTTTCCTTGGTAAATGTAAAATTGACCTGCAAAACGCTCTCAGAATAAAATCTTTGTACTTACTGATTAGATAAACAAGAAGTGGATTTACCTACGCTTAAGGTTGAGGATGCTGAGCCAAAGAAAACAGTTTTAAGTAAAAAGTCTACAGGACCCATGTCTCAAATAAGTGGAGTGAGAAGATTGCATCATACTAGTAGTTTCAGTGGCGGAATAACTCCTCGTTTTGGAGTTGAAAGTAATAGGGAAAAAGAACTCGAAGAATATATGAATAATCTTGATAAGTGGGGAATCGATATTTTTAAAGTTGCCGAGCTAACCGATTATCGCCCCTTAACAGCGGTTACTTATACGATACTGCAGGTAATAAAGATTAGGTAAATTTTTTAAAGTTAACCTATATTCTTCCTAGGAGAGGGGACTACTCAAAGAATTTAAAATACCTTCGGTTACTATTATTAATTACTTAATGCACCTGGAGGCACATTATCATCGAGATAACCCATATCATAATTCTACTCATGCTGCTGATGTTACTCAGTCATCGCACGTACTTATATCCGTCCCAGCATTGGAGGTAAGTTAAGGCTTTGTTTTATTTGAGATAGCGGTTATCTTAATTCTGGTGATATACTGTTGATTGAACCAGTTTAACTTTTAGGAGGGATTATTTGAAAAGATTACTTCTCTATCTTATCGTTTTATTTCATTCAAACAGAACGTTTTTACTGAACTGGAGGTGCTAGCCACTATATTCGCATCTGCAATCCATGACGTAGACCATCCAGGATTAACTAATCAATATCTTATCAATACAAGTTCGGAATTGGCTTTAATGTACAATGATGAGAGTGTACTGGAAAATCACCATCTGGCTGTTGCTTTCAAACTATTGCAAGAGGAAGGATGTGACATATTTACCAGTTTAACTCAGAAACAACGATTGACTTTAAGGAGAATGGTTATTGATATGGTAAAATATAAGAAATTTTTCTCTTCTAATTGATTTTCAATCCACTTTTATAATATCGATCTAACTTTTTGTTAAAACCTTGTAAAAGTATCTTATAGCTTTGCCATTTTCTCTATTTCTTTAATGCTATTTTTCAATTTAACACTCTCACCTAACACAGGTTCTGGCCACTGATATGTCTAAACATATGAGCTTATTGGCTGACTTAAAAACGATGGTTGAAACTAAAAAGGTTGCTGGTTCTGGGGTGCTTTTGCTTGATAATTATACGGATCGAATACAGGTAATCTACAGCAATGGCCAAATTATTTTCGTTTTTATGCGTTTTGCGGTTTCTTCTCTTTCCTTGGAATACAGTTATTAGAGAGTTTGACGTGTGCTATGTATAAAACCACCAATATTCTATTTTTTGTTTTATCCAAAAGACAACGTACGTTTCATTAAATAATAGGTTATTGCCACTGATATGAGTAAACATATGGCTATACTAGCCGACATGAAGACACTTAATGAATCCAGGAAAATGTCTCAAGATCGACCTTTAGTGAAATTTGAATCATATGGTTCAAGAATAAAGGTTGTTTTTTTAATATATTGAAAAATCTAAAATTAAATCTCTCTTACGTTTTAAGTATTATTCACTGCTTCACCCTAACTGACTTACGATGAATGTTTAATTTATAAGAGGAAAGAGCGACAGAGTATATGTGTTTGAAAGCAAAATCTATACTTCTTAGACTTTTTATTCCATTCAATCATCATAAATTACTTTTCCTTGGGATTTAGGTGTTACAAAATATGGTACACTGTGCTGACCTAAGCAGCCCAGCAAAACCACTAGAACTGTACAGAAAATGGACAGATCGGGTCATGACAGAATTCTGGAGACAAGGAGATTTAGAGAGAGAGAAAGGAATGGATATTTCCCCAATGTGCGACAGACATAATTGTACAGTTGAGAGGAGTCAGGTAAGATTATTGAGAAACAGCTTTTATTCTTCAAAATTGACAAAATATTGCTTGTTTTCAGGTTGGTTTTATTGACTATATCGCTCATCCTTTATGGGAAACTTGGGCTGACTTAGTTCACCCTGATTGTCAAGATATTCTCGATGCTTTGGAAGATAACAGGGATTGGTATCATAACATGATTCCATTGTCTCCCACGAACTCCTTTAGTCAGAAAACTGAAGACATCGAAAACCCTACTGAAGAAACAGCAGATTCTAAGTTTCAATTTGAATTAACATTAGAGGAGGAAGAGCCTAAACCGGCTCCAACTGAAACAATTATTGATGAACCTCTAGAAGTTCACCAAATAACAGATGTTTAAGTATTAATAGAAGTGTGAGAAATGACTATATATTGGCAATAAAAAGATGAATGATGTCGAGTTACAAATAAAAAATATCTTCATCCGTGCCATATACTTCATCATTAACGAAATTTAACGGAATCATGCTGCGTTTCACTATGTACTAATCGTGCTCAAGTTCCATTTGTAAATAGTTTGGGAAGCGTGACTTGAAGAAACATGACTACTCATTATGACGTACAATGAAGAACTCGTTAACGTTGTAAAAGTCCAGATCTGCCTCTATCCTGCATATTACTTTTTTGCGATTATTAACATGTGTATATTTGCACATAATGTAATATATATATATATATATATATATATATATATATATATATATATATAAAACCAAATCAGTAACACCTTATATTCTTACTACTATCAACAATATATGTATAAAATTATTAATATATATATATATATATATATACTTTCTCTTAATTTAAGCATTCTAACACATTTTTGAAAATATACATGAATTTATTGAGAAAGCCTTTCAAATATCTCTTACTTTTCTTACTCGATAGATGACTCTGAACATCATATTAAGATTAGCTTTCTTCAAGCTTAGTTTAATTAGAGACTTGCTAGTCTAGAATATGGGTAACAAAATAATACCTACTCGAAGATCTTCAATTGCTTCTGATATATCTAAGGGAAGTACAGTGGATATCAAATCAGGATTTTGTAATGCTGATCCTATTACAAAAAAAGGCAAGCAAATTCAAACTGTACAAATGCTTGTTATTCCTCTTATACCAATCGTTATACTTCTTGGACAAGCAATTATTTGTTTAGCGCGCTCTATTAGTGCAAAAAATTTTACGGAAAAGGCTTATGAAGAAACTTTGGTGGTAATAGAATATGGTAACACTATTGATTCTATAACTAAGGAAAAAGACTTAGTAATTGAATACTTGGACGGTCACGTAAGCAAGGGGAATTTAACATCTAGATTTGAGATTACCACTAAGGTGATGTCGAAAATTACCATCTGGTCTCTAAAAGGTATATATGAGGACAGGCTAGCAGTTCGGAGCCAGCTACAACAAGTGCATTTCGTTATTATGAATGGTAGCCTTTCAAAGGAACAAGTCTTCGTATTTTATGACGATTTAGTAAATGAATTTTCGATTGCAATAACTATTTTATCCAAAAATGTTGATAACACGAAAATTTGGAGGGATCTTCTATCCTATAAATTCTTAATTAAAATGCAAAAGAATTTTGACATTGCTCTCTATTTTGGTAAGCAGTCGTTCTTTAATAGATCAGACACATATTTCGTTCAAAACTACATAAAATATAATTTTTTGGCGTTCAGTCAAGTTGAGGTTAGTAAAGAAATTTCTAGCATATTAACGGCAGAAATTGAAAAACATAATTTAATGGAAAAAGAGTTAATGGATGAAATAATGTACTTTAATGTGAAAATGAGCAATGAGACTAGCATTATTAGCTATGAAGAATTTCTGAAATGGAAAAAAAATGTGAAAGAAGTTTTGATTGGAATTGAAAAACTTACACAAACGATCAGAGATTATATCTTAAAAGTTTCCAAAGATGCGAAATCAAATAACAATGTTCAGTTGGGAGGTGTTAGCTTTCTCTTTGCTATAGTATTACTTTTAGGTCCGATAGTCATCATTTTGATAGACAAGATAACAGCCACAATTCACAATTACGCCTTGGGCTTGTCAGGCAAAACAAAAGAATTACGAATGGAAAAGAAGAGATCTGATGAACTTCTGTATCAGATGCTTCCTAAGTCTGTTGCTCTCCAGTTAAAATTATCTAAAAGGGTTTCAGCTGAAAGTTTTAATTCTGTTACAATATATTTTTCTGACATTGTTGGTTTTACTTCTATCTCAGCTAAAAGTTCTCCCATGCAGGTAAGCATTAAACTAGTATGGAATACAAATGTAATCATTTAAAAAAAATTAGGTTATCCAGTTTTTGAATAGTCTTTACTATTTCTTCGATACCGCAATCGATAGATATGATGCATACAAAGTGGAGACAATTGGAGATGCTTATATGGTAGCTTCAGGACTACCACAGAGAAATGGTGGGATTTTCAAATCTATACCAGTATCTTAAAATACATATCCATTAGTTTAATTACATGCATACGTGCCTATTTATTAGAAGTGCAGAGTAAAAGATTATTGTTCATTTTAAGGATTAGTGTTATCACGTTTTAGTGTGTTATTTTTCGATCCCGACAGAACTTAAAAATGTATTTAACGTAAAATTATCACCTAAGAGGAATTTAAATTCCTATTATAAAATTAGTTTGTAATACAGAAATTTCCTAAACTTTAGAATGTTAAAATTTGTGACATCCGACTTATAAGTATGCAGCTCTTCTAAGATTTCATTTTAAACTCATGTTGACTTAAATTTATTACAGGAAAGAGGCATGTATCTGAAATTAGCTCTTTATCTTTGGATCTTTTAAATGGTATAAAAGAGTTTGATATTCAGCATCTACCTGAAGAGACTTTGAGGCTTCGAATTGGAATACATACAGGTAAAAACCGAAATCTAATTATATGCTTCAGCATGATTATTAAAGATACTTCAAAGCGAATAATTAGTTCAATCTGATCACTTACATCTGCTCCCAATATTTTAAGGTCCAGTTGTTGCTGGAGTTGTCGGATCTAAAATGCCGAGATATTGTTTGTTTGGTGATACAGTTAATATTGCTAACATCATGGAGGCTACAGGAGTACGTTAGTATCCGGGATTTTAAAAAGTATTCAACTCAGTATTATTTGTTTTTAAACTTTTTATTTAGCAATGAAAATTCATATCAGTGAGGATACGATGAAGTGTCTAGAGAGTTTTGGGGGATATCTAACAGAAGAACGATCAGAAAGGGAGATACCAGGAAAGGGAAGGATGATGACCCACTTTTTAAAAGGTAAAATGGATACGAGATCAAGCAAAAATAGAGGAATAATATCAGCGACGCGATCGAAGAACCGTGAAACACCTCTAACTGAAGTAGTTTTAAGTAACGGTCGCACTATTGACAATTAAAACACTCACTTTAGTGACTAAAGTAGTTCTTGTCGTGCAGCGTATAATGATAATTACATTAAACTTAGTGTTTAGACGTTATTCATTTTAAATAGACATACAGAATTCGTACAATATGTATACTAATATATATATATACAGTATATCTGCATATTTATGTACATTAATATATGCTATTATTCAGAGGAATTAGTGTTTTTGCTTTCATTTTTAAAGTTATGTAAATAATTCGTTTGGGTTTCTTTGACTACATCTTCGTACTTTGGCGGAGAATCACTTGAACTTGCACTACAGTCCACATCCATATTCGAATCTCGGTTTGAAGCTGGCATGTTTGCTAGGCCGTAGTTAAGGAATGGCAAAGATGTCGGACGGACACTTTTTATGAATTTTTGGTACATCCCATAGGCAGCCAAAAGAATCAATAATATGGGAATAATAATGTAAAAAAGTATAAGAACATTGTTGTCACTGTTACACCGTATTGCCGCTGATCCATCACACTGACTCTGTAAATTCAATTCGCAAATTTCGCTGTCAGCGTAGCATCTATATCCGCACTTACGTAGATTATAAGTACAACCCTCATCGGGGCAGAATTCATCAGAATCAATACACAATCGTTGTCCACTACTACATATTTTCTTGAAGCTGTCACATTTCGGAGCTTGACTATAAGTTTTATAATTAGACTTACAGCGTTGATCGTAGTCGTTTTTTTTTACGCAATGCAGAATTCTGGAACACCATTCGTAGCCTCTAATACATTTTCCTCTATATCTACTGTTAAACATACTTTTAACAGAGCAACCAGTCTCTTTGTCAACGCACCTTTTGTCATTACAATCAAAATGTTTATCATTTATACATAAGCAAGAATATTTAGAATTTCTGCATTCACCCGATACATTGCAAAATTTTTCCGCTGGATTGCGGCATTCCTTGTCTTTGTTCAATGTTGGTGAACAATTGGAAGCTGTAAGGATGAATAAAAATAGATCAGGAACGTTTTTCGTCTTCATTCAAGTCAATACAGATTTGCAAAGTAGCCTAGTTGCAGTATGTATCCTTCACCTTGAATAGATAATGAGGAATAAATTTGGAACGAATTCTACCGCCATCTAACTGAGAATTAGAATATGATATGAACTTATATTTTAGGGATGAAGCTACAGATATTTATTATTGAATGAATTTATAAACGTATTTTTTAAAAGTTTGCTAATAAAATGAAACTGTTCATAATACACAAACAGTACATGTAATACTGAGAATATATATTTGAAATTTTTTCTCTAAAAATGATCTATTGAGTAAAATTAACTATTTTACTGATAATATTGCTGAAAGAAATTTGGAAACTTCTGAAAGAACCTATGAATTCATTACCATCGATCAATTATGTTTTCTGAGATCTAATGTTCTGCGAGAGTACAATTTTATTAACCATTTGGAGAGAATTATTTGAAAAATCTGTCAACTTTGTAGATAATTTATAAAGTTTGAATACAATAGCTGTCCTAATTTCCGTGAACTGTTACAAAGGTTTCTGAAATTATACTGTATATCTCTCCATCGGTTGCAGTGATATTAATTTTTGCTATTTAAATTTCAAAAGACCAGTATTTATTTGCCTCCGCTTAGTCTTTAAAAGCATAGATCATTAAAAACATTTACTTGTATTGTATTTGATTATTCGTGTAGATTTGTGTCTGAACTATTTAAAATTTATTATAATCTATAAAGCAAAAATACGTGTCATCAATCAAATGACTCATACATTTGTGACGTGAATTTATGAAAATGATCAGTTGTCCCATGCTATTTAATAATATCTTCGTATGAAGGCAATCCCTCTTTACTAACTTCTTCATAAGCCGGTGGAGGAAAAGAGGGTTGATGTTCGTTATAACAACCTACGGATGGTGTAATGTTTGGTATTGTTGGTTGGCTTTCTCGCAGAGGACCCAATTCAGTTTGCTCAATGTTTCTGCCAGATGTAGTGTTTTGCAGACAACATCTTCTGCAGATTATTAGACACAAGACAACAACCAAGAATACAGGTAGTAAAAAGTAAAGTATTAAGTGAGTTTTTGAATGCTGTTCAAAAGTCGGCTGACAAGAAATCTTACATTGATAGCCACATTTTACCATAGGATTTGGACATTTTTCTTCCTCACAATACTCAGACATTGCAACGCATCTTCTTCTTCCATATTTGCATTTTTTTCTTCTTTTACTACACATATATTTTGGACAATTTTTGGCATAATCTATATCACGTACACATTTTTTTGAGTATGTACACCATTTGTGGTCATATATACATGATGGAGAAGATTTTGTAGTAAAGGCAGGACTAAAGCAGAAGCTAGTAGCCCCAAAAAAATTTTTTTCGCATCTACCATCAGTACACTCTATAGCCCCTTCTTCAAAGCAGTTACAAGAAAAATGTATTTTTCTACAAGAAGCTGACCTATTGCAATACTTAAAATCAGATCCTTTAGATAAACAATTCACATCTGAGTAAACATAATTCCAAAATAACATTGAGACAATAAATGATCCAAAATTAACATCTAAGAATGGCATCCCAAAAACATTCAAAAAAATAAACAAGAAATAGGGAATGAATATTTTCAACAGTAAGATATTATAAGTCCTTCACCTTAAACAGTAATGCCATCTGATTCATATCATATATTGCATAACCAAGATAGATTATATGAGGATTTTAATTCTGTAATTTTTCATCAAAACATTTGAAAAGCTAATATAGCTCATTTTTCTATGAAAACTGTATTCACTACTAAAAACATCAGTGAAATATTTTAACTTAAACGTTGACGTTATGAATTCTTTACTCATACACAATCTCATCAACTTAAAAAGGCCATGTAATTTAAGGTTCGCACTAGATGATACACACTGAGTTTATATTCAAATGACGTATGTGCTAAATCAGGTAAACAAAAGAGCTGCGTAAAGTAATGTATATTTAGGTTAAAAATAAAGACTTCGAAAATTAGAAATCTTAAACACTTCCCTGTCTCATTGAATTAATAGCCTCGCTATAAGATGGTGGTGATGATAAAGGAATAGCTCTCAGTCTGTATTTTTCGTTAGTGTTGCAAATAGCTGAAGATTCAGTTCTTATTGTTAAAGATGGCAGTTCGGGTAGTGGACCAAGAACGGTGTTTTCATTTGTTCGGTTTGTTGATAGTCTACATCTTTTATGGCACATTAAACACAAGACAAAAGAATAAATAATTGTTAATATTGGTATGAAAATGTAGAATAGTATAAAATAGGGATCGTTTTCATTTTGATGTTCTTGAGTTGCACCATTATCAATGAATTGAAACCTCTTCTCACATGGAAATATGGAGCACTGATAGCCACATTTATATTTAAAATCTGGGCAAGATTCTGCAGGGCAATATTCACGTTTTCTATCTATACACCTTCTTGTTCCTGTTGTACATTCCTTTTCTGACTCTGAGCAAGGAGAAACACATTCACCCTCACGAACACACTTATTCCTAGCATCACACCGTGTAAAATTCAATATGCACATTTTCATAAAAGCTCTCTTAATCCATTTTAAGCAATTGAAAACTTTAACTCCATTTGGGACACATATGTTGTCAGGGCATTCTATACGACCATCATTGGGGCAATTGCACATTGAGGCCACTGTTCGACAGAGATTTAATTGTTTACAGTATTTCAGTTTAATGGAATAGTAATTTTTCCCACATTCATCATCCATTTTACCTTGCGATACATACGCCATTAAAAGAATTAGTGTGTTAATAAACATTTTTAGTCGTTTAGGAAATCTATTCTTGAAAATCAACCAGAATGTTTTGCTTCCAGCATAGATGAAATTTACTCGGCAGTATTGCCCTCTGGATAAGCAAATTTTCTTTGCTGCAGTGTTACATTGGTAAAACTCCATCTATCAGCAAGTTCTTAAATTTTTACATATTTTGTTATCGATTTTAACAATTGGTTGGAGAAAATGAAATAAGTCAAACTACCTTGGATAGAATATCATACATACTAATAATATAGAAAATAATCTCTATGAGAGATCAAGCTAAACTGTCGCATCTTCATTTGTTAATAAGCCTTGAAATTTTATCTTCATATCCTATAGTGCTAGTGTTTGAGATTTATGAATTTCAATACTGTATCGGGAAGAAGTGCCTTATAATACAATACTACATGTTTTCAATTGTAAAAAGTTTTCTTGATAAAAAAATAATAAAGTGATTTTACCTTATCTTGAAAATTCGATTTCAATAAATATATGAAGAGAATGATTGAATAAATGTTAGTTTTTTGATAAATAGTCACAAATACATGATATTGTGAATAAGCCACAAATATATAAAATCTCTTACAAAGTCTCCAAACTTTCGACAAAAGATAGATATAATGTAAATATTAATCAAATCTATACTTAAATTTGACTTTAAATATTTGACTAGCTTGTTACAACAAAGAAATTACTTTAGAAAATTTCATTTCTTAATAAAGATATGGGCATTAGAAGCTGAATACAAGCTATTTATGTTATTCTTCATGTTGAATTTCTTACCTTCATTGATCATTTATTTCCTCAATCAACCTTTTTATTTGAAAAGATTTCGTTTTGCGTCTCTGGAGAAATTATTAAATATCACCAACGTATATGTTGCAAAAAATTCAGCAAAACCGTATCTCAGTTCAGTAAGATACAATAATAAAATATTGTTTTTTCCCTGCAGATAGTTTATAATTATTTCCTCACTTTTATACATGATTATCATCATTATCATTGATCGTGTATCTGCATTTCTCTGATGAATTAACAAATACAGAATTGCTGATATTAAAGGAAATAAAAAAACTTATTAATTAAAAGAATATTTTTACTACATCTGAAAGTGATAAAATACAGATGGTACTAGTGAGCTATAAAAATCTAAGAATCTTTTGAATTACATTATCAAACATTGTTACTACGGACGCCTGGTGTTGATTTAGAATAAATAAGATTTATATGCGATTCGAATTATATTTTTATATTTTCTTAAGTATTTTAAACTTGTTTGTGAATTGAATAAGTTAAATTTTACTTTGAAGTTTGTATATGCTAATGTATTTATAGTAGATAAAAGCATATGGAAGATCACGATGACAAACAATTTTAATCTATAAAAAATTACTTGTTAAGTGAATCTTTCATTATTTTTTTACATTATACCAATTGTTATATGGAGCCGTATCAAGAAATTATTTTTTAAATAGCTTTAAAATATGAAAAGATAATTTAATTTCATACATTTTTCACACAATTACTAGCACTAAAATAATAAGAAAATCTTTTTAAATGAAATTTCATGCTTTCTAGCAACTGTGTGAAAAAGTTCTGAATGAATTTATGTGTAAAATGTTGATGATTAACGATTTAAACAGAAGTAATCTTTTCTGCTTTTCAAATGAGAGTCAGCTATGATATAAAACTTGTTAGTCTCTTTTTAAAATTTAAGATTTATTTCTTTGCTTTAATACAAAATTAAATTGTATGGTTAAATTGTCCACTTTGAAAGACAACTAATTTTCTTTAATGATTTAGCTTTATTTATTCTGAAAAACTCAATAATTTTTGTCTTATAGTTTGAGCGATATAGTCGATAGCAGGGATCGATGTTGTTTATAACGAGACATCGAATCTATAAGAAATAGAGCCATTTTCACTTTGTAAATGTCTATCGTATGTCCTCCGATAAGATTTAGGACTGGCTTGAAAAACAATCAACGGAAATTTGTTGTTAACCTTTCGGGTCATTTGTAAACTTATTTCCTCTTTATTTCTTGAAAATTTTCTCAACCAGCATCTCCTTGCTGATTTAAAATTTAACCATTTTGACTTGATCTGTGATTCTTGGGAGCTTAAAGTAGACTTGTCACTCTTGTCAGTGGGGTTTCTCGTTCTTATGCTGGACGATGCACTCGTTAATCTTCGTAAACTCTTTGAATCCATAGAGGACGAAAGATGCCGTTGATTGAGTCTTGACAAGGATCTACTTAGAGAACTTTCCTCTATTCTTCTACATAATTGCACACAGTCCTTGCCAAATTGCTTTGTGAATATAGCGTATAAAAAAGGATTGGCACACGAATTTAGAGGAAGAACGAAAATTGTCAGAATTTTAGCTTGCTCCAGTGTAATAAAATTCAGACGGAAGGTTGCAGACAACGAAATGAAAGAAATTGGAGCCCAACATAAGAAATCTGTAAATACAAGCAATGCCATTCGTTTTGCGACTCTTGAGTCCGAGGAATTCCATGCAGGTGAGCCACGAATCGAATAGTACATTTTAGTATAACTTGCTAAAATGACAAAAAAAGCTGAACAGTTTAAAACTAGAATAGAGCAAACGTATGCCTTTGACTTGTAATCAGAAACATCAAACGGTAAACAAACGGCGAAAGTTCTGTAGTCACTAATTCCAAATAAAGGTAAACTACCAATAATAACAGCAATAATCCAACCAATGACCATAATATAAGTAGCTCTACGTAGAGAGAGACGCTTATTTAAATGTACAGCATGAGTGATAGCATAAAGTCTCTCTAGAGTTATTACAGCTAAAGTGAAAACTGATAGTTCACTCGAAAAAACAGCTAAAAATCCCGCTGTAGAGCAGGCAATGGACTGTTGCCATGATATCCCATATCGTTTAAATTCTCCTAGCGTAAAAGCATCTTCAACGGCCAGGAAACCTAAGTATACTCCCATACATAAATCAGCAGCAGCAAGATTGCAAATTAAAAATCTTGGAACGTCCATTCGGCTTCTGCCGAATATATTAACAGTGAGAACTGCACCTGAAATTAAATTGTGGATGATAATCAACAATTAAATCTCTTAGGTCTTACAATTCCCAAGCAAAGCTAATAAAAAAACCGTCCATGAACCGCAACGAAGAGCCCACCAACTTAAGAGGTCGGTACAAGGGTGAAATACATCTATTAAAAATTATAGAATTTCAGTTATAACAACTTTTAAATAGTATTACTTTTTTATATTTCTTTTTTGAATTACCTGGTTGCGGTGAACAATAAATTAAAGGTTTAAACTGGTTGCTTGGAATAAATTGCTCACCGTTGTTGCGATAATTATATTCAGGATACTTATCATTTAGAGATTCATCTGGAAAAATTTAAAGTTTAGAAATAATTTACAATGATCTTACAAAGTACTTTTTGGTGCATGATTAAATTGCAATGATGACTCGTGATCTGAATCCTCATAAGTGAAGCTTTCAGCAACATCTAAGTTTTTTAGATTTTCAAACTGAAATTTAAAAAAGTCAATAAATTTAGGAGAATTCTGTTTTAATCAGAATTCGTTTTCTTTATAGTTTAGTTTTAGTGTTAGTATTCGTAGTAGTAATTTATTAGAATGAAAATTTCAGACTAACATAGGGTCTTATTCTACTCTCATTTTCTTTTATGTATTCACAGCAATGGTACACATATGGCACTTTGATTTTCTCAAGTTTTGGGAATTTTTCAGGTCCCGGAAATGTTAAAAGATTCTCATTTCCACTTGCTACTAGTGTTGATAGTGATTGTAATCCTTCCCAAGAAAGACTTTTCAAAGAATTTTTTTCAAGGTATCTATTGCAAAAATGTTAATTAGTTGTTGTAAAAGTGATTAGCACTTACAATTTTTTCAATTTAGCTAAATTTATAAAAGCCTTTGGATGAATATATGTAATTTTATTTTCTGCTAGATTTCTGAAATATAATGTTATCATATGAAAGCAAAATCCAAAAGAACCTGCAGCTTACAGTAATTCCAAATTTCTTAAATTAGAAAAAATTTTTTTGTCAATGGTTTCAATCAAGTTTCGTCGTAACACAAGATCTAAAAGCTCAGTGAGATTTACAAATGACTTCTCATCCAAAATCTTAATACGATTACGTGTAGCATCTCTGTTAACAGTTTGAACAGGAAAAAATTTATATTTCAAAGAAAATTTAATCAATATTATGTTATAGAAGATATCAGCATCTTTATAAAATACTTACAGAGTCGTAAGATTAGTACATTTTCCAACAAAAGATATATTAATAATTTTGTTGTGGTGAAGACGACTATTTAGTATGCATCAATGGGTTTTTATAGGTTTGATCAATAACTAACATTACACTCTTACATTTTTTCAAGTGAAGGCAATTTTTGGCATAAATCGTGGGGAATGAAAGTTAGCTCGCAACCAACCACTTGAAGATCTGTCATTCTTGTGTTCTGAGGAAGGATAGGCAACGATATACTCTCTTTTGTATTCGAAATACTCCTTGAAAAATATTCAAATCATTTTTCCTGTCAGAATCTTATTATTCCCCGTATTAAAAACTCACAGTATCTTTAAATTTATTAGCGGAACTAATGAATAAGTTTCCATTACTTCGATTACATTCGATTCAATAGACAGGTGTTCAAGATGTGCATTATTGTGGAACGAATTGTTTGATATCTTGGTGATTCGATTATTCGATAGATCGCTAAAACAAAAGGATATCTATTTTACTTGACAAGTACAAAAACACAAAGAATCTTACAGGTAATATAAATTTTGAAGGAACCTTATAGAAGTAGGAATATTATTTAACATGTTGAACTGAAGATCTCTGGAAAATTGAGTTATTTTATGATCAAGGAAATAAGACTAATTTCTGTTTGCCATTTAAGTACTATGAATCTTTTCTATATTTCTAAAAATAATAGGACAAATTGATAAAACTTACACACGCTCGAGTTGGGGGAAATCTTTAAACATTAAGTCGGAAATTTCTGAAATACTGCAGTTTTTCAATAACCTTGAGAGAAATGTTATTCTTGACAGATTAATGATAAGATACAAATATTAATAGTTACTCACAAGTTTTTCAGTGATACATGTGGACTTGAAAGAACGATTTTTTCTAATTGTCTTAGCGTGTTACTTGAAATATCCCTATAATCAATCAAAATGTCAGATATTATCTAGGTAAATAGAATTATTTACAATGTATGTAGTTTCTTTAAGAGAGAAATATTTGGTATTTTCGTAAACAAATTTGAAGAAAGTTTTAAATGTTCTAAATTTTGTAATCCTCTCAGCCCATTGATCTCGCTCAAACGATTTTCCTCTAGATTTCTGTCACAAGAAATATACTTTAATAATCACAATTTCTACAAAGATGGAAATATATAGCCTCTTATACATGGCTGCGCTGACTGAAGAATCTATTACGAGTTTCTGAGTCATACATCTAACGAACAAAAATCATTCTCTTCAATCACACTAATGTCTAAAGCCAAGCATTATGCAAGACGTGTTATTTTTTTCATTTAGCATTAACTCCCATTGGTTGATTATATATATATTTATAAGTATCATATTTTCCATATTTATTTATATATAATCACATGCAGTATTGAATATGACATAATATTCTTCTTCTAAGTGAAAACTATCTCTTTATATATTACGGAAAGGCACTGGACAAGAAGAAAGGTTTATTGAAAAAATAGAAACTTACAGTTTTTCAAGATTGGTCATTGCTTTAAACACATCCTTTTCCAAAAACATCAAAGGCCCTTTTATTAGTTCACTAATTAGAATCGTAAAAATAATCAGAAATCAGAAATTTCTTCAATATTGTAGACTTTGCTTACAAATATTTGAGCTTGGAAAAATTTTTGACATCTTTTGGTCGTAAGTGAGTAATAGTATGATTTGTAATAATCCTGTATCGAAAATTTGTATGAGATCAAATAAGAAAAAGTCATCCATTTGAAACTTACAGTTCCTTTAATGAATTCATTAGTTTTCTTGGTACTATACTTATATTTTGACCAACATTTCTAAGAATTCTAAAAACAAGAAGATTATTTATTGTTTGAAATCTGCCTAGTCATTTATGGTAATAGAAATATAAAATTGAAACTCAAGCTTAGATATCTAGATATATATTTAGATCAAACTGTTAAAGCTAAGAGGGAAAAGAAAACATGAAAATATATATTATAATTTTCATTCTACTAGTTTGTCAAGTACACACTTATAAGATAACACTTCTCTCAACCTAATCATCTTTTTCGATAAATTTTTTTAACATGTAAGTGTCTCTAGTGCTTTCATAATTAACTACAGTAAAGCCACGTAATCTTAAATTTATAATTACATTTATTTAGTTAAAATTACTTTATGAGTACATTTAAAAATCTTTTTACAGTATCTATCTTAAGCTTTAAAGTAGAGACGCATTTATTTGCTAGAAGAGTATATAACAACTATATTTCGCCCAGCTACTGTTTCTAAATAAATGTAGAGAGATTGTCAATGGAAATATCGATATCTTTGCAAAGTATTTACCATATATCAAAGTGAAAAGCTTTTGTCTTTTGATGTAGATAAATAGAAGGTTCTAAGATTGGTAGGGAGAAGTGGCATGCAATTATGGAAATACACTTTGTGGTGACCTAATTACTTAAAATAATCTAAAATAAGCGACAAGCACAATATGTCCTAAATATAGTTCGGATTTGACAATAAGGTAAGAATTAAAGCCAATTTTTGGCGAAAATGAATTAATATATACTTGTATATATCAAGCTCTCGAAAAATTTTGTATTTTTATAATTCAATAGGAAATAATTGAAATTATCCTGTTGTATTCTGACTTTTCCGGCTAATATTAGGATTTCTTAAGCTGTTGTTATGGTTTTCGAAAGTTTCTAATATTTGGTTAAAAATTTGTTTTTACTGAGAAAGTGTTAAGGGTCTCAGGTGGCTTTACTTTAAAAGTTTAAAAACTTGTTAGTTAAGTATAGTGAAACTCTACTCTGCTATAATAATAATTTGAATGATAAATTTTTAATAGCATTAACAGTTTTGTATTAGAAAGGAAATTAAATATTTCATTCTCTAAATTACTTTAAAAATTCCGGCTTTAACAAGAATAAAAATATTAGCTTTCATTATAACTTTAAGAATTGCTCTGACGCAGAAAATACTTACAATTTCGTGATAGGATGATGTTCTACTTGATTAAACTGTTCTATATTCCCTGTCTGGAAAGCTCTACCATCACAATCCAATGTTATAGGCATAAACTTGTCTTTAGACACACAGAAATTGTAGAACCCCTTTCTATTACAGAAAACAAATGTGCAGAGGCTGAAGAATAACATCCAAAGTTGGAGGCTGCATGTAATCATTGTAATATATTGGATGTTAATAATGATTCACTATTGTCGAATGCTGCTCCAGCGCCACGAAGACGTCTTAAGCGCCATCTTCCAGAATTGTTATATTTTTCTTGACTTCGTCTTTCGTGTTAGAAATATTATTAGATACCATATATTTTATCCTCATATGGCAGCTAAAACAGAAAAACCAATGTATCATTACAGTTTCTATAATGAACAAACAATGGAACAAGACTCAATTATCCATACTCATTTATGCTTTGACAAAATACGCTGTCTGAACGTTGTCAAGGTTTTTTTACATAAAAGTTTTCATTAAATTAAATCTGATGCTCTTTTTTCTACCGTAGGCCTAAGAGTCAATATATACATGCGAATACATCATTACACACACTCCATGCTGGCACAGGTCGTGCTGTAATAATCTCATCACGATTCACCGATCATAGCTTATAGTGTGTCGGGTTATTAAAAACGTTGATATTTATTAAAATTATACAGTTTCCTATTTAATGTTGCGGCATCTACCTGTTGAAGAAATATGGCTACAGCAGGCGGTGAATACGTAAGATACATCTTATAAATTTACATTTAATGATAATATAACGACCATAAATAACATTAATATGAAAAATCGCCTTATAGAATAGTCGATATGAGAAATCTGTCGCAGAGCAACAGAAAATAAACGCCCAATTAAGAAATGAGGCCCAAATTCCCAGAAAATCAGCGTCTGTCGCTATCGAAGAAATGATTAAGGTAAGTATCTTATATCTTCTATGTTTCAATATAGCAGTGTATATGTGTATATAAATATGAACATATATGATACATTTTAAATAACAGTTTTGTGAGGAGCAAGCGGAGAAAGATGTCATGATAAGCGGATTTCGCAAATTGAGCGAGTAAGTAGATATGTACCTACCATGTAATTGAAGTTAAAGTTAATATTGTCTAAATAATTTAGATTAATTGACAAAATTATTTTTAAATTTCAGTAATCCTTATCGGGAAAAAAGTGGCTGTATTGTCTTATGAAAAACATGAAGTGTTTTCTTGTTGTTATCATAATATAAAAACATTTTACACGTAGTTTTAATGTTTTTTGTTTCTTTGCAAAATGCTTTATCTTTAAATACATCATTTGTGCTTTACAAATATGAGTGATTCCTCTAAAACTGTCTGACAAGTAAGAAATATTAGATAATAGTTATTAGATAATAACTCCTTGCTTTCATAAATTTTAACGTACTTCAAGAGAAAATGAAGCAAAATTTTGAACTAGATGCCAATTATAGTCTACCAGATTTCTCCAGTTTTATTATTGAGTATTTCGCTCAGTGTTTTTCCAAAAAAAAATAGGTATTTTTTTTTACCTTGCAACTTTACAAATCAGGTAAATCCGCTATCTGTTATTACCGCTGAACTTAAGAATAGAATGCAATTACAATAAGATTGAGATTCTAAACTAGATATTATATAACTGCATTCTGAGCGATATTACAAGAATTTGTTGAAATTAATTTTTTCGCTCTATTTACTTCAAGTTTAGAGTAGTCTCTCTCACTTTCAGCCTTTGAATGCAGTGGAGAAGGTTTCTTTTTATTCGAAAATATTCACTATTTTCTTTAGCAAACTAAGCTATTAAATTATCAAATTAGACCTCATCATTAACCGATATTTTATTATAATGTATTTTTCTTAGTACTAGATAATTTCTACATCATCTTCCAAAATGACTTGTTGCGGTGAGGAATCGGTAAGCTATTTCGTTAATTTAGAGTAGTACAATATGAAAAGAAATGCAATTGAATCTGAAAATAATAACTATAGTTTGAATCAGGAAGTGCTTTTGTTTAACTTGAAGACACTGTGTGACCCAATTGCTCATAAAGTATACGTAATTAGTAATTATCTAAGAAATATATAACAAATAGAAATTTCTTTTCAAATTTATTCTTTGTTGTATTTCTGCGATGTAATCACTCAAATGTTACTAATTGGGGAATTTTACGATTAGGATGGGAATGGCCTACCCAAAGAATCTCTTAAAGTACAAAAACAAGGATTTACAGATATTCCTTGTTGCCTAATCTTTCTTGTCTTTGTTGGAGGAATGGTAAGTCAGGTGATAGCTTTCCTACTTTGAAAACTAAAGATAATTTTTTTAGGGCTACATAGCTGCACATGCTTTTATTAATGGAGATATTTACAGACTGTACTATGGTTATGACAGCTATGGAAATACTTGTGGTCGTAAAAATTCTAAAATTGAGTCACTACAAAAATTCAATATTTCTAACAATGGCAGAGATATGACCGATAAAACGTATACATTTTTTATTTTATGAATATTCCTTTAAAAGCCACATTTTAATTTTGTCACAAATTTTTTACTTTTCAGAAAAGTATTTTTTCTTGACATAAAGAATTTCAAATCTGCAATCTCTTTATGCGTCAAAAAGTGTCCAGAATCAACTTTGAGCAGCAACAAGGACATTAAAAATTTCGCAGAAAAAGCAGATTCAAATCTTTGTACTTATGAAACTGATGTTGATGAATACGAAAGCCAAGCTAACGGAAAATTAGGCCCCTGCCCTAGTTTGCCTGTACTTGCAAGGTATTTACATCCAGTACGGTATTAAATATGGAAAAATTATATTTTCACAATTCTTTAGCACGTCAATCTTAAGTCGATGTGTACCCGATTTGCTAAAAGCAAAGAAAACTTTAGATCAAGCCAATAGAACAAGATTGGGAAATGTTCTTACCGAATACTTTAGTGAAGTTAGCGAATTTCTAAGAGAAAGTGTCCTAGATTTCGTAAAAAAGTGGAAAGAAGTACTGATTGTCTGCGCAATTACTATAGGTTACTAAAATTAAAAAGTAAAAATTTTATATTCTAATCTGTCAAAACTTCTTTCAGTTCTAGCCTTTATTTTCGTTTTTATATTAAGATTCATTGCTTCAGTTGTAGCCTATTTGTCTATGATAATAGCTGTTGTTGGTGCTATAGGTATGTCACATAGAGTGAAAAAAAGGTACTTTAAGTCATTTTTATCCTACAGCTGGTACATTATTTGTATGGTGGAAATTTTATGATATTATAAAAAGAGAAGAAAAATTAAAAGATTACTCAATCCCATTTATAAACTTAGACGTATCAAATAAAAAAGTGTTTCTTGGCCTTGGGATATTTTTTTCCATTTGCACGGTTGATTGACTAATTATCTTGAAGCATTGTTTTAATCTTTTTTTATCATAAATACAGATCATTTTAATTTTAATAGTAGTTGTTATGTTCAAAAGGATAAGATTAGTGGCTGCATTATTTCATGAAGCTGGAAAAGTTTTTATGAACACTCCGACATTGTTATTTCAGCCTGTGTGGACTCTTCTTGTCTTGGGTGTATATCTCTTGTTTTGGGCAATGAGCATGGCTTTTCTTGTTTCATCTGGTAAATTTTTCTTTATCACTTGCTTGTTTTAATTTTTGACTTTTAACAGAGCCGCCAAAGTATAGAAATGACACAATGACGGTTGAATTTAAAAGAGATACAAAGCTAACTATTTTCTACGCTTACTATTTTGTTGCTTTGATATGGATTTGTGAATTTATTATTGCCTGCCAACAAATGGTTGTCGCTGGAACTGTAACAGATTGGTATTTTGATAGGTGACTATCTTCAAAATTTAAAGATATATTTACTACAATTTTTGAAATTCTTTCAGAGAAAAAGAATTTGCAACCTTTCGAGTCTTGCGATCGACAAAAAATCTAATCTTATTTCATTTAGGATCAGTTGCTTTTGGCTCTTTCATCATCTTGCTTGTCAAATTACCTCGAGCTATTCTTATGTATATCGATCAAAAGTTAGTAATATTTTTATGTCATAGCATTCCTAAAATGATGTAATATAAAAGAACCAGAGGGAAAAAAACAAAATGTGCAGAATTTATGTTGAAATGTTGCCAGTGCTGTCTCTGGTGCTTAGAAAAGGCTTTGAAATTTTTAAATGAGAATGCTTACACAATCATCAGTTTGTTATTCTCTTATTTCACATTAACAAAGAGAGAGTTAGAATTTTCTTACAGCAATTAGGAAAACAAATTTTTGTAAATCAGCTTGCATAGCTCTAAAGATAATTGCATCAAACATTTTGAGAGTTTCTGCTATCAATTGCGTGGGTAATTTTATTTTGTTTCTCGGTAAAATCGGTATAACTGCTATTGGTGTTGGTGTAACTATTGTTTGGCTAAAGGTAAATTTTAGTTCTGAAGTTTAGGAATATTCCATTAAAAATATTTTATTTCAGTTTGTTCGTGGAGTTGATGTGGTTAGTATATTTTCATTAATTTAATTAGTAATTTTATTGCTGACAATCAAGGGTTCAAGAGATGATCTGGAATTATGGGGTATACCAGTAGTTTTTATGTGCGTTTTTAGCTTTTTGATAGCTCACTGCTTCTTATCAGTCTATGATGTTAGTATTCTTGCTACATTTTTCATTTGAATTTTATAGTCCGTTTTTTATATAATCCTTACAGATGGTAATCGATTCTTTACTGTTATGTTTCTGTGAAGATATGCGTATAAATGATGGAAGTGAAGAAAAGCCTTATTTTATGAATAAAAGTCTCTTGGTAGGAACATTTCTTGATTTATCTTTTTTTTTTCAGCCGAAGATCGTTTTTTCGAAAGATAATAATTACAGAAGCATTACCAATTTAATTGAAATAGGTATTCGTTGAAGACTATTCGCAAAATCCACAGTTAAATAGTTCAATAAATCCAATCAGCATCCAGATAACAGAAAGCTGTTCAAGTCAAATTACGTAAGAATTGTAGGATGTTGTTTAAAACTTTTGTGACATTTCATAATCTCTATCAAATTATCTGTATCTGAAATGAAATTGATCGGAGATAATTTGTCTTAATCTTTCTATGGAACAGTAAGGTCAAAATTAGGTTGTCTTGAACTTGTATCTGTCTTGTGTTGGACACCGATTTTTAGGGACTTTACATTTTACTTGAACAGGCCGTGTTTTAAGAATATCAAATGACATGACATGATGTATTTTCAAACATTCCTTGTTCTATATTCACAATTGGTAATATTTCAAAACAAACTTTAACAGGAGGCTGTGAATCTAGTTAACGAAACTTTAAAAAAAGAGGACGGTATGTCTCATTCGGAGGATGTGGAGATGACGGAAAAAAGCGGACTTAAAGCGGGCGAAGACAAAACATCTTAATAGTTTGTGTTATTGTTAAGAATTGTTACTTTTTTTCAAAATTATAGACAGATTTTCTTTTCCCTTCCAATCTATAGTATTAATGAGTTTTAGATATCTTTTCATCCTTTAACTGTTTTAATTTAGTTTGCCTAATTCCTATAATTTTTGGCTTTGAGATTTATATTTTTTGAGTCTAACTTCCAAGCAATCTAAGACTTTCAATCAAAATGTTGTGACTCATATTTTTGTGCTTAAACATGTGCTCACTTTACCACTTTCTTTATTCGAATTTGACAAATTTATTTGTTTTGCAGAAAATTACAAAAGCCTCAGAACAACATAACAACTCTAACTGACCAAGCGTCAACATTTACCTGAGCCTTTTATTGATGATATAGCTTGATATAGATAATTGTTAAGCTTTAGCAAACTAGATCTGCTTTTAGATGTCTTTTTTCTCGAGATTAAATTGGTTCATACAATATATTATATTTGTATACATGATGTTGTAGTATGTTTAAAGCTATTACTAGACTTAAAACTATTATGCTTAAGATTTGCATTTTTATATTTGCTCTTTCAAAGTCTTATTTCTTTACCAAAATATATGAATGATCTGAACATTTGTAAACTAAGTCTTCTAAGATCTTCAATAAACTAAAAGAACTCTTTATCATTGATTTGAAGACATTCTTTCTACGATCCGACTCGATTACGAAATCTAATTAACTAAAAAAGTTTCTCTTGATGATAAAGGTTTCATATTAGCATATGCGTATTAAAAACAGACAATATCCTATGATCTTCAGCTATGATATTTTAGATATACATATATATATATTAGTGTGTATAAATAGATAATTTTCATCCCAACAAGAATTTTAGAATAGAAACTGCAATTCACCTTTATAATAATGATACTTAACATAAAATACACTTACAATATACGTTTTCAATCATTCAAATTTGCATGATTTTGTAATTCAAAATAAATTTACTTCAATCAACAAAATGTCTTCATAGAAATAGGATACTTCTTTTTAAAAACTTGCATGACTAAATAATTTATCTATTCTTCTAGATTAGCTTGAATGCACTACTTCTAAGGTACTGCTCTATGTGTAATGAAATTTCAGAATTTAGGCGCATAGGATGTCAAAGTAGGTTAACATTGATATTTCAATCATAAAATGCAATTATAAGTGTTTTTTCTGTCTATTGTTGATTATTTTTACAAATGGCAGTTGTATAATATTCTTCATAGCTTCTTTATTATTAAATTAACACTTATGAAGCTATTTATTTGATAAAACATGTGTGTTTTTTCTAATTAGAAAGAAAAAAACATCCATTTTGTAGAAGTGCCCAAATTACTTTCTTTTTTGAATATTAGTAAAATTTTACGTTGGCCAAAGATCATGCAACAATTGAAAAAGCAACTTCTTTCAATACTGTTAAATTTTTATTATTGGTACATATTATTCTCTTTCAAATTTAGAAAAGTATATTTTGAATGGTTGACCCCTACAAATAAGTTACTAGACTATTCCAATGAGAGTAATGCTTTTTCATTTAATTGAATTGTTTCTTCTGACTATTACTACTTTAATCCGTTATCGTTGCGGTAAAAATTTAATGTTTGCAAATTGTTTTTTTTGCATTTAGCTTTGAATTGTCTGCAGTGAAAGGAAGTACCTGCGAGAGTTTCGAAAGATCGTTACCAGAAAATATGCTAGTGATTAAACAAACAACAAGTCTTGTTAAATTAGAATGCAAACGTGGATATCATATTAAAAATGTTAATGCTGGTATTTTTTTGTGCATGAATGGAAGATGGGTAGGATCGTTTTCGTATTGTTCTCGTAAGTAAAAACGGAATTATTTTTTGGATTGAATTACTTTTTCAATTTCCTGTCAATAAACGTAGAATTCACTAAGCTATGTACAAAATATTTTCTCTGATTTAAAATATATTTGCTTTAAAAGAAATTCAAGTAATAAACTTTCCTCTTTTTACAGGTACGGAATGTAACTTATCATCAGCGAAAGTAATATCAAAAGAATTAAATGTAACAATTTTTCGATTCTATGAAGATAGCCATTTTATAGCAAATTGCTTGGGACAGCAAAGCTTTTTTATCCACTGTGACAGAGAAACTGGCCAATGGAATGGTACGAACATTCTATGTAATTCTACAGGTATCTAAATGATCATAAAATAAGTATTACGAAAATTTAAATAGATGCGAGTTTACTCCAGATTGTTAATTTATGATTGATAATATAAACAGGAGCTCCGGCATCAAAAGATATGGTGAATAAATCTTTGGAAGACTATAACAACGAAGTTGAATAAATTAATCCGTTCTCTGACGAAATTCTGGCTAAACTTCGAAATTGATATAAATACATTTGTCTTCAATGCTTAGCTTTCTTTAACATTTATGTCACAGATAGGTAAGAGATTTTTTTAGAAATTTAATTCATTAAAAATCTTCTTAAATAATAAGAAATTTGGAGTTATTAGAAAAATACCAGTTGTTAAAACTTTAATTTTTATGGTAATTTCAGCGGAATTTATTGACACTTAAAGAGTTAAGAAAATAACAAATTTTTCTGAATTAAGCTGTTCTGTCAGTAGTTTTAACATCATTGTGTAATCAAATGGAACGCGCAACCACAAAATAATTCATATCTTTCACAGCTAGTGAAAAAACTCGACATAAAAAGAGGAAAAACATATTTTTACTTCTAAATCTAATGAACTTGGAAGAATTACTGTAACATTGTAAAATAATACAATTAGGCGTTTGACTCGCCACTTTTTGGAAAACTAACAGATCTGGTAACAGGTTTAATTTTCTTAGTGTTCTCATCTTCTATGACAGTCTTAGAACCAACAAATCTATTATGCTCCGTGTTGTGGTCTTTATAAACAGAAGAATCATCTCCTGAAGTATAACAACTCTCTTTATAAAAAGATGAATCAGTTGAGACATTTTCTCTACAAGATGAATAACCCGACACGGAGCTTTGTTCTTCATCAAAGTCAATAATATTTAAATTGAACATGCTTTTTGACAAGGGTATTGTATCCGATTCTAGGTCAGATACACCGTTGAAGGGGTAGTAAAATTTTGACTTAGATGTTCCTATTTCTTCATCATTGTTACTTAGAAAACTCCATCGTTTAGGCCTTACTTTCACTTTTTCCTTCTCTTTTTCTTTAGAATCCTTCTTTATTAAAGACTTGGTTGAAATCCTTGGCTCACTTTTAGCACTTTTCAATTTTCCTAGCCATTTCTTTTTTTTTACCCGGAGATTTCGGGGTGGCAATGGTGGAGGCACATCGCTTAGAAAAGTTCCTTTTTCCGAGCTAATTTCTTTTTTTTCTACATCATGAGAAGGTGAGCTTGGTGGGAGGGGAAATTGGTCGCCGATTGGACGTGATTTTTTTTTAATAACAATTACTTGATCCTCCGTTTCCGGGTCATCATATATATTTTCATCTATATCTACCTCTTTTCCAGTCAGAAGAACATCGTACTCATTATCACTATCTGTTAGAGGAATTGGAGGAGGTGGCATATTTGGTGCATCGTCACACCCATTTAATGTTTTTAAATTAGCCGAATTTAATGGTGTCAGTTTTGGGGAGGGCATTTTTTCATAGGATCCGCTTGAATTAGTCACCAAGCTTTGTTTGGAATTAGGAGCTTTATTAGATGTTCTTAATCCGCACTTTACGCAATTCTTGTCTAATCCTTGATCGTGATTACCAGAACAAATTGGTTCAACATAACCCAAGTCGTCTTCATTTGTGAATAATGGAATATTTACTCCTATCGTGTCATAATCATTATCCTCTTTATTATCATAATTTAATTTCGTTAAATGACTGATTGCCATTTTATGTGAATTATCTGTTTCATTTTTTGTGATTGTCTTCCTCAGAGAAGGGTCTAACTTTATGTTAAAGGATTCAGTCCTATTTTTATTTTCACTAATATGATCAATGAAAAAGAAATCTTAAATAAAAATAGTTGTAATTTACTTAAAATGATTAGTATATTCACCTCAAGTTCCATCTTTGATGTCGCTTACGTCTTTTATAATAAAGAAAGATATAAATAAAAATTCCTACGAGCAAAGCAGTTCCCAAAATGACTGGAATGACTATAGCGGGAATACTTGTAACTGGTTTGGCTGGTGGCAGAAGTGGTGACGGAGTTGGAGTTACTCTAGGGTACATAATTGTATAGTCTTCATGTAAATAAGTTTCATATTGAAACTGATTTGCCATGACCAATGCTAATAGTTAAATAAGCATTTATTTTTCATTCGGACATTCTGTAATTCTTGCTCTTTTATTGACGACAAAGATATAATACTAAGGCACACCTGATAAAATTCATGATCTGATAAGAAGAATAAGTACAAAAGTTTTTATTGATCTGCTGATAAAACTAGAGCGTGTGATTCGCAAAATACTTTTACCAGAATATTGGTGCCATCTGAAGGATAATATATTACAAAAAATTGTCAATATACTGTATGTTGTTACGTTTTCCAATTATATTTTTTATATTCTACTATGTTTACAACAGCAATTTAAAATGAACTTTGGAAACGCACGATGAGAAATATAACTACTAATTATTCGAACAGGGGTTAGAAATATTATGTGATAACAGATATTGTGCGTTGCAAACAGATTTGTACAAATTATACTGTGTATAAAAAATTCGATAGCCCAACAGATGGCGCGAAAAGGTATTCTTTTAATACAATCAACTGAAAAGTCGATTGATTTTCATTAATAACTGATGATTAAGAGTTAGATAAACCGGCACAAATGACAATATACTGTCAAAGAACATCAGGCATATAATTTTTCTGGGTTTTAAAGTGAAAACGGATTGATTTTATTTAATCAGGTAAAGTCGTAAAATTCTTAAATTTATTATTTTAAAATCAGTTTCATCAGGCAAGTAGCATCTGGCATCTATTTTGTTTTCAAGTGAAACCAGCTAAGTTCTATACTGATATAAATGAATAACTTTAAAATTTCCACAAAGTGAGATTAAAAGACACATCGACTATTATTCGATCAATGTAAAATTACTAGCTGACAGTTTTGTCATAATTAATAATGTATTTCGGAGTAATACTATTAAACAGAGCACTTTGAAATTGAATTTAACACCCATATTTTGATCTTTTCAATAATAGACTTTTTCCATTTAAATAATTGATCTAATTTTTACCATTCTTCGTTCCACTATATTGTTTATTGATCTTTTTTTCGAAATGCTAAAAACAATGGTAATTAGCGTCGAAGAAACGAGAAATATCTTTCTGTAAGGTATATTCGCATTATATAATTGTTCTGAATATACATTTTTACTGATGAATTAAGTCTAAAGGTAGGATTTGAATGGATAAAAGCTATAAATAACGTTAAATCTAAGATGTATATTGATTTCAATACTATTTATTGAAAAAAAAAGAAAACAAGTTAAAGGTTTAAAAATATCTGTAAAATGCTTTAAGACTCATTTCACTAAAATATAATTCTTCAAAAATTTCGCATTTTGTTATGTGAAGTCTTAATTTTATACAGGTTTGATCTAAATATTATGGTTATTTTTACCATGTAACGTTATTATTCGTTCTCTTAAGTTGAAGAAAATTATAGAATATGAGCGATAAATAGGCGAATAGTAGAAACAAAGCTATATGCCTTGCATTATTGAAAAGGAATTAATTTATAGTCATATGAAGAAGAGGCTACATGAGTGATTTTCACATACTCTTACATTTTGTTTATTTAAAATTGTATTCTTCTCACTCTAAACTTTCGTTTTTACATATTCCTATTTAGGATTGTCACAATTTCAATGAAAGATTACAATGTTTGGAGTCAAAGGACTATTTTTAATATGGATTTTATTAAAGCTGTCCTCGAAAATTTTATCTTTTCAATGTCCCAATTTGGATAAACAGTGCTTTTGCAAAATAAAATACACATTTGAAAACTTCTTATTGTGCGAATATTTGGGAAATAGAACTTATTTTCCAAGCTTTAAACCCTCTAAAGTTTTTTTCAAAGAATTGCAATTTAAATATAATTCAAACATTGAAATCTGTCAAAACTATTCATTTGATGGTTTATCTATTCAAAGGATAAAACTACAAGAAATAGGACTGAAGAAAATCGAAAGCGATTGTTTCAGCAACCTCGATTATAATCGATTACAAGAAATGTATTTAGATTCGAACTTGATTTCCCATATAGCAGGAGAAATTTTTTCTAAAATGAAAAACTTAAATTACTTAAATTTATCTGGAAATAAATTAGTAGATTTGGGACAAAATTCTTTTTTTGGCTTAAATTCCCTAACTCACCTCATCGCATTTGGTAATAAGATTACAGATATTAGAGCAGTAACATTTAATGGATTAAGAAACCTCCATACGCTGGAACTTCATAACAATAATATTGAATTGATAGAGGAAGGAGCATTTCAGGAACTTATTGAATTAAGAGAATTGAGCCTTGTGAAGAACCAGATAAAAACTTTACCAAAAGATCTGTTCAATAAAACAAAAAAAATCCGAAGAATAGAATTCGCCAAAAATTTATTAAATGAAATTGATGAAAAATGTTTCAAAGATTTAAATGATCTAAACGTATTAGATTTATCATACAATAATCTCAGATTTTTGCCTACTAAACTATTCACATCTAATCGAAATCTCGCTCATTTGGATCTTTCTTCAAATCGTTTTTGGAATCTACAGAACAACGTCTTTAATAATTTAATAAATTTGGACACGTTAGTGCTAAAAAATTGTAGTATTTTCAACATTAACAAGGACGCTTTTTCCAACCTTAACTCACTTACCTTATTAAACTTAGAAGGAAATGAGATTGCTATTTTACAACTTTCCACAATGAATTCATTGACATCTTTAGAAGATTTAAATTTACGACATAACAAGCTTTCAGAAATAAGTAGTGCAACATTCTCCAAATTAAATAATCTGAAGAAGTTGGATTTATCTTTTAATACTTTAAAAAGTTTAACAGATGCTTCATTTTCGAGCTTGACTAACTTAGAATTTCTGAGCTTAACCAGTAATGGAATAGAGGTTATTTCACCTTACAGTTTCAATGGTTTAAATCATTTGGATTCATTGCAATTAGGAAATAATTCTTTATCAGAAATAGATCATCGCAGCTTTTCGCAACTTGTAAATCTTACTTACCTCAATCTTGAGAGAAATAAAATTAATAAGCTACATAACAGATTATTCCAGAATAATACCAAATTGAACACTCTTACTTTGTCAAATAATCTCCTTCAACTAATAACTTCAAGCAGCTTCTTGGCATTAACTAAGGTGACTCATTTGAGATTAGAAAATAATCTACTTGAGAAAGTATCATCAAACTTGTTTAAGTCAATGACGAATCTCAAAAAAGTGTCCTTGCATAATAACAGAATAAGTAAAATAGAGGAAGATGCATTTAATAAAGTGCAACAACTTAGTGAATTAACCTTACATCGAAATAAACTGAAGAAAATCTATCCTTACACTTTTGAGGCACTGAAAAACATTCAGGAAATTGATCTAAGTTACAATGAACTGGATAATCTAGAAGGTATTTATGCTTATGCCTTTTATGGGATCACCAATTTAAAACACATTAGCCTCACCAACAATAACTTGACCCGTTTGTCTCGAAACGTTTTGAGCTCTTTAAAGTTTCTAGATAGCATTTTTTTGAAAAATAACCCTTGGAACTGTAATTGTGACATATTCTGGTTTTTCCTTGACAAAAGAATAAGAGATGTTCATAGTTTAAATTGCTCAGGTGGTCAAATAATGTCATGCTATAACTTTTCACTATGCGAAGATTTTGACTCATCTCTTAAAAAATCGGATGCTTGTTCAAGTCTTGAGAAAACAAATTATACAATTGTAGACAACTCTACAGCGAAATATGTACAAAACACTCCGAGTACAGAAACCTTTTATAAGCTCAACGCTACGAAGGAAATTCAGCCAGCATTTACAATTGATTATTCCTCTACAAATCGACCTATTGGGCAAAATCATTTAGATCTTAAAGTTCATATTCTTAAATCAGATTCTGTAACAGTTTCTTGGGGAATAGATCAGACGAAAGATGTTAGCAAATTATTGATAAAATATAAACCTTTTACCGACAGTGCAAAATATAAAGTAATAAATTTAAAGCCATCAGCAAATAGTTTTAAGATCTCAAATCTGAAAGAAGATAGTTATTACATCATATGTATTGTCTCCATAGCAAATACAAATGCAACCTCACAGGATTGTATCTCAATAAAAACTGATAAACAATTTAAAACTGCTGCTATAGTTGGTTTATCATCGGCAATATTTCTTCTCTCTCTTATTTTAATTATAGGTATTGGCTTATTATGTAGAATGAGATACAGAGAGAAAAAGTTAATGGAGGCTCGACAAATTAGACGCAATAAGATAAGGAAACATTTTGCCATTGATTCAACAACATTTCCTAAATATAATCGTCACACTTCAAAATCAGTTTCCGTAAGAAATTTACATAATCTCGCAGCCGAAAATGGAGATGTTAGACATGTGCAAATTAGGAGGAATCATGATATTGATGATGATAATGGCTTCCATCAGATGGCTGAAAACTATGAGCGACATGTGTCGCCATCTTTTTGATTAAAAGTTGCCATTTTGTTTTTTAGAATATATAATATCTTGACATTCTTAGATATTCCCAGCTTAAGAGTTCAAAAAGAAATTAATTTAAGTTGCTGTAACGCTTTTGCTTCTCGAAAATGTATATATAAATAATAGTTTAGGATTGCTAGCTTTAAAGCCAATAAATAGCACTGATATATTATAATTGACATGCACAAATTATCCCAAGCGAATATGTCTCACACTGAATTGGAAATTACCTGGATAACAAAATTGACTAGTATTACATATTCTTGCAAATAGTTCCGTCTTTGAAGAGGTAACCAAGAAGAATTACTACTTAAAGAATACTTGTTTGCTATTTGATTTAAGATACATTCTAATCTTCAATTATACGAATTAAGAAAAACTGAGAGCATTCTGTAGTGTTAAATAAATCAATTTACGGTTTTCCTTTGTTAAACATATCGAAATTTCTCTGAATTTCCTAAGATTTGATTTCCAAAATATTCAGTCAAAGTGATAAAAGGAAGCAAAACCGGGAGCGCTTGCTTGCTACTTGTTCGAACGTTTGCGTTCTCTGGGGAAAGGAGCATTTAATCGCATTGCGTGACCATGGTTCTTTAAAGCATAAAGCAAAAAGCAGTAGGTAGCAATTCCAATGTGATACAAGAAGGGAACAGCAACAGATTATAGAAAGAGTACTGGGTCTTAGTCTCGGTTCTCCTAAAGATTTTTTTTTTGGAGATTTGTATTGGGCGTGGCTTATTAAGAGTAATTGTATGAAATCAGCCGGAAAATACCTCCAGAATTTTAATCGCCATTAAGCAGACCGATATTCCATTAAGGTAGTTTGATTAATCGGTAGCATCTGTTACCAAAATTTAGCATACGTAAGAATGTTATTGGGCTCTTGTCTCTCCAGTGCCAATTTGTTCTTTTTACCAATAACCTTTTCACCTTGTTAAAAATATTTCTCGAGTCATGCCCATATGCCCATGAGCTGATCTGGATATATAATTGATCTTATACCATGTTATTGTCATTGATGGTTATCTCTGGACCTTCTTTCCTAATAGTACGCTAACTACTCCTGACAACTAGCAGCCCGGTGTCATGATCAAGATTATGCAATATTATTTCGAGTAAAAAAGAGAGAAGAAAGAAAGGAGGGAAGTGACGAGATAGTGTATAGAGAACTTAAGTTTTTTGATGGATCTGATAAGCACTCACCTGCCTTTGTGCAAATTCTTCTCTCTGCCAGTTTATAGGCTGTTGAGCTTTCGCATTATCCTGACAAAACCGTATTTTTTTTATATATAAGCAGAGAGAAAAATTTTGGTTTTATTCTTATTTCCTATACTTTAAATGAATAAATTATTGGTGTACAGCCTTAATCTCACGAGGGGTCTCTTGTTACACATGGTCAGTCGTTTTTAAATTTATATTATATAAAAATTGGTAACAAAACCGTTTTACAACATTGCATCAGTTGTTTCTACGATTGATTATGCAATTTTTGCTAAATGTGCATAACTTCCGTTTGAGATAAGGATATTAAGACAGATTAAACTGAAAATTTCATTTAAGTACTTATAATATCTTATTAGTACAGTTGATGAAAAATTATTTGCTAATTAAAAAATGTCATTCTCCGAATAAGTCCTGTATCCTCAACATAGGTGTCCTTGATTTATTCTGTCAAAAGTCTTTGTAACGTCTTAGCGAAAGAAATTGTAAATTTGTATGGAAAGAGCGAATGATGTCACTAGCATCGGTGAACTTCAAAAAGGGCGCTCCAATGGCTTTATTCAATTTATCATTTAACGAGGCGCGAATACTCACGTTTGCTTTCAAAGTTCTTTCTCCTTTCTAAATTAATTAGAAAACTATCGGTACTTTTTTTATTATCTTTGATTTTAGGCGCGGATGAATAGGATAGTCACAATTTGATTTAATTGAAATATTTTCGAATCAAACATGGAAACCTCTGTCAATTTTGCCATCTTTTCTAATAATAATAGTGTTAAAAGTAGCTCTCTCTCCAAAGAGAACAACGTAGCCGCAAGAAAAAAGTGATTAAAAAGTCTGGCCTTTTGGTATAGCTTTGATCTTGACATTTGTTTATTTTAGCCATAGTATTTATTACTCTTTCCCTAAACTAAAAACGAGGGTATAGCATTTCCGAGTCGGATTATCAGTGAATATTTTAAAATAAAAGACAAACACGCTTAGCTTTGTATACTTCTACTTTATCCCTTCGTTCTCACAGAAATAAAGTTTTAATATACACAGTGACGATTTAATAAAGCGGTGTCATATCAAATGTACTCTCAGTAACGCCACATATTACAAAATCATGCATGTTTATATGAGAAAACTCTCAGAAGATAAGTCATATAAAACTATAAAATACAAACATATTTATCACGTTTTTAATGTGTTGTGCAGTTAGTAACATTAATTTTCGATAAAGTTTTACTATATTTCTTTCCGGACGAATATCCCTTGCGAGAATAATTTTTTTGTTTTAATTTTTGAACAATCCAAAGTCCTTTGCTTTTAAATATCTCTAAAGTAAAGAAGGAGATATAACTAAGAATTTAGATTCGTAGATAAAAAACAAAATTTAACTTTTCTTTGTATGGGTTTTTATTTCAATACAATTCGAATCACGTGACTAAAAATCAAACGATTATTGGTCGAGTTGATATTCCGTCTATACCTTTTAGAAGAAACACCTGTTTTACTCATACTAGAGACAGACGATATTCTGACGAACAAATATCATTTGTATGCTTTCATTTACAGAGATATTTATGTTTGTAGTTGGATTCAAATTTGATTAACTTGGTCAGAAATATTCTAGTTAGAAATTCTGTGTGATATCAGTTCAAATTTAAACGAAATTGACAATTTCACAAATTGTTTCAACGACCAAAATTAATACCAATTTGATTTATTGTTATTGGCCTCCTATCCTACTCTTATATATTTTCACTTATCCGGAGTTTATTGGTAGAAAAGGAATTAGTTCTCAGTCATCTCGAAACCCTAAAAAGGTAAATTTTAACGTGGTTCTAATGACACGTGACTGTTTATCAATGTCGATTGACGATAATAGCCCAAAAAAGGATTCACTATTATTGCATTCTTGTCAATCCTCTTTCTCTGATAAGACTAGATCATTAAATGAAGGAAAAATAAAACTTTTGCTTATTTGTGGGATAATATTTTTATTCGTCGGATTGACATCATTGAGTGTAGCCATATGGTTAATCACAAGTTCAGAATGTGCAATTGAAGAGGTAAGTTTCTTTTCATCTATTAAACTTGTTTGCCTGCAAGCAAACTTGAACATTAGATTAGAGGCAGGTTTATTATTTTTGGCTAAAATGAGAGTGCATGTAGTACCTCCTCTCTATAATAATATTTAAATAGTTCTAATGTATTAAAATGAAGACTTTTTAAAGTATTCTTCAAATGCGTATATTCTTGAGTGAAATGTTTTTTCTAAACAGTCACACGATAAAAGACAAATCCAACAACTGTCTCTGACTCCTAGCAATTCGTCTACAAATCAATCAGTCAATCAATCAGAATGGGAGCATGACAGGAAATATGACATTGATTTTGAACGCCTCAGGAACAGTGCTACTGTAAAGAACGTTGTGCAATCAAGCACGCGTTTTAAAAGAAGTTATGCTTTAATAGCTGACTTAGCTATAGATGGTAAGAAGGTCTTCAACTTGAAAACATCGCAAGAGCCCTCTTGTTCTCAAACAGGTATAATTGCAAGCCAAATTCAGTAAAATTCCTTTTTTTTTTAATTGTAATTTTAATGACAGATTTTGAAACGAATCCTTTCTTCATCATTGATCTGGGCCATAAAAGAGTTATTAGTTCAATATACTTAATATTTCCTTTTGATTACCCTTGTAAGTTTTATAATTCTTTAGGCGTAATAAATGAACAAGAGATTTTCAATACAGTGAGGACTCAATGCAACTTTAAGGTACAAGTTGGTATTGATAAATTGGAGGAAACAATTCTTTGCCGGGAACATCTAGGGATACCAATCAAACCGAATTTATTGATAGATTGTCAGAGACCCATATATGGAAGATACTTAAGAATTGAGTTATTAGATATTGGCATTGAGAGAAGCCTGAGTATTTGCGAAGTTGCTGTATTGAAAACTTGACGGCTCCATCTAGTGGCTAATGATATTTGAACAATTTAATCAGTCATAAAACAATTATTTTGATGTGTATAGTTTTGTTAAGATAGCTTGTGATTTTTGGAATATGAGATGTATAAAAAATAATTACATTATAAAAACTTGTCATTTAAGGATATCATAGTTTTTATAAAATATAGTTTACAAAAATATATTCTGTAAATGCTATTTCGGGAATTGTGCAAGTGAAATACAAGTAAGCTTTCTATTTACCAGCTTAAAACGAACAACGCTTATTCGAATTTTCCGCTTACACAAAAAAACTGAATTGGTCCCCTCTAGATCAGGAATTACATTAATAAGGTTTTGATAATTTATTACATCTTTTGAAAATAATAAATTAGGAGCTGAAGCAGGATACAATTTTAATTGAAACACACTATTTTCGTTTATAAGTAGCCTTTCAAAGTTAAACTTTGTTAATTAGCTGCTTGACATTATCTAGTATCAATAATTTTCTTTTCATGTATAGAAACGAAATGGGTGAAAATTATACTTTATTCGTTTCAAACAACAGTAGAAATCCTCCTTTTTCTATCCTAATTTATTGCCAGTCACGTCGAAAAACATTTTCGACGTTTCTTGGTTGTTTATTCAAATAACAGAATCGGTAATGAAAGTGACCGATGGGTAGTAATTAATTGTATTTGGCCTGTTTGTAGCGCTTGCATCTATGACTAGTGACGCTGTGTAAAATAGCCTTTGTTTGCACTTTGAATTTGCCTTCCTCTCTATTGCGTATAGAAAAATCACGATTCCTGACTATTGGTATGTCTTATACTACGCGATATTTGACGTATTACATTGCAAGCAATTTCTTCTTTTTCCTTCGAAGTTCTAAATTTCTAATCCAATTAGCTTCATGTTTTGCAATTTTTTTATTTTATATTAAGGAAAGAAAAGCATTTCTCTACTGAAAGTTTCTGACCAATTACAGATCTGCATCTATTGCTCTGCAGTCGTGACGTCACAACACGGTTTCGCCTCCTAACCGCGAAATAGTCGCGTTTTTATCACTTCGTCGATGGACTACAGATAAAAAGTTTCGTTCTCAGAGGACTCATTAAAATATTAAGAAACCAAAAATTATTAATAATTTTAAGAAAACACCATATTAAAAATATTTCAGGAAATGCAGAATAGCTCAAATAGTACCCTTTGCTGGAATGACTATTGTGAAGATGAAAAGCAATTTTATATCAGAATCCTGAAACATGTTTCGCCAACTATATTTGAATGGGTGATGATAGTATTCTACGTTTTCCTCTTCATTATTGGTTTGACAGGAAACGCCTTAGTCATTTGGGCAGTCTGTAATAATAAACATATGAGAACAGTGACGAACCTCTTTATAACTAACCTTGCTATAGCTGACTTGCTTGTTTTACTATTTTGTCTACCAATCACCTGCTTAGGAGATGTAACGGAAACATGGTATTTGGGCACTGTTATGTGCAAGATAACTATCTTCTTACAGGTATAACCCTTCTTTAATTACAAATTTAATTAAAAAAATTACCTCGAGGGTTGATACCGACCAACGATTTTGTACTCTGAAAATTCTATAACTTTAGCTCAAGTTAACTATGGTTTTTGGTTCAAACCATTATTAGAAATTGTAAAATCTTTGCATAATTTGAATACTATCGTTATATTATCAAAATTTTGCCTGCGGTTATAGAGTTCTTATGTAGTTAGGGATTTCACAATACTTTACTTGCTCGGAAAGCCGGAAATAGGGAAATGAATAGATTTATTGTCCAAAAGCGTCTTGCAACAAGATTGTCTGTTATAGAGACTTCGTATTGAGTTGATATGAAACTCGGTTTAATAGAAGCAACTAACAATAGCTATGAAACATATTAATGCTCAGTCATCAATACGGTCTACATAGATATTGAACAACTTCTAAGATTTAAATGATTAATTGATGTTCCACATGGTTTTGTTTCTAGTATACAAGATATAATTGCTTTTTTTGAATTACTAGGATTTTCCTTTAAATTTTAAAACGCTGACAAGATAAACGAATAAGTTAATCCATCATCTAATTTGGAAAGTTGACCAAATGGTCCTAAGCAGACAAAGACAAACTGTAATAGAATTAGGTAAAAGCGACGAATGGTAGTAGCCAGCAAATTTTCATTAGTCTACGGCGTCGAAACGTTTAAGAGAGGTAATTCCTGTTTCGACTCTTTCCCTTCCGGCAAATTTGTCAGTAAAGTTGTATTTTCAGTATTCTTGTAGAAATCCCAAAATAAGGCTTTTTAACTTACTTATAATAAAAGTAGAGAGCTTAGAAATTAAATAATATATAAGATAATTAAACAATAAATGAATGATATGTGAGCTAGCAAGTAAGGGAAAAGCTTTACTGTTTCAAAATTTTTCGCTAGCTTCAAAATCCTTGGTAAATCCACTAACATGAATAAGCCTGCAATTCGCACCTGTTATATTATAGGTTAAAACAGAATCCGCAATTTGTTGTAATGTTTTATTACGTTTATTTCATTTGTATTAATAGTTTGATATATTTGAATCGCAATATACTGTACAGTGTGATGCATTTCTGCTAGAAGAAACAATATTACTGAAGATAATGTATTATATTAGGGACTTAAAAACTATAGTAATAAAACAAGAAGGGCTCCCAAATGTGATACAAATTATTAAGCTAGGTTTGGTTGTGACAGTCTAACGTAAGATATTTAGTCGTATTGTTTAAGACATGAAAAGGAGAGCAGAGCATAATTTTTACTCATGAGATTTTTCCAACACTTGCTCTCTATAGATTAAAGCTTGCATTAAAATATAGAAAGAATTTTTCTATGATAAATAAATTTACATGTGTAAAAAATTTAAACAATTTAAAAATGCTGTTGAATTTAAGACGAAGCATGCAATAAGGCTGTAATTGAAAATTTCGTAAACGAAATATAAAGATTATCTTTAGTCTATCATTATATTCTATTCTGTGAGCTTTAGACAGCGGGTTAATCTTGGATTAGTCTCTCTTTCATCCATGGTAACTACTTTAAATGCTCATGATATTTTTTCCAAACAACAAAATTAGAGAAGCGTGAACGACAGCTGCAATTCTGCAGCAGTGTTTTTTATTCTATTCCAGCCGAGTATATCAGTTAGGAAGGTTATTTCGAAACGCAAATGTGCCTTATTTCTTAACATCTACTCAAATTTTCCACAACCGTTCAGAAACTTAAACGAGCAAAGTCTTGGATATGTGTCATAATACCAAAGTTTTCCTTATTTTTACAAAATGATGGTTAGCTCTTAAGGGATCCTTTTGATCGGTCAATACATGATATGAATATAAAAAAGAAATTCTCATTATGTGAAAAATTAATCGGCTTAAAAAACTCTAGTAGGGGAGTTTATTGTGAAATTGAAATGATAATCAGGTATATATTTTAAGGATAGCAAATAAATTGTTAATCGAATATTTGATTGTACATTCGGTTATTTCTGTTCAGTTAACGTAATAAAGATCTTTATAATATTTTCAAAACTGTCTCGGAGATATAAGGAATTCACTGATCCTGATAAAATCTGAAATAGCCAACGCTGAAGCAGGTGCAACGAAGTTTTTATATCTATCTGAAATACAAGCAGAGAGACACGTTAAATTAAACTTACACGCTATATCTTATTATATTAGTAATGATCTTGCTCTGTTAAAAGGCGTACCTATGACAATCGATACAGCCAATTCAGTAAAGAAAAAAAGAAAAATTAACTATGGCTAAAGATTTCTAATGATAAATGAAGAACTTTAGCCACCATTTTGAATATTTCACTAGACTTTTGACCTTTCCTCAAAATTTTCAATGTTTACACTTCCTCCTTATGTTTATTGTTTCTAGAACCGTTTTTTGACGCTAACAGAGCATATTTTTTCAATTAAACGCTCTCGGTAAGTTAAAAATGGGAAGAGATGAAAAACCCTCGTGCATAAACAATTCTTATCGAAATAACGTGGCAAGATTTATTAACGTAAAGGCCCTATAATATGTCATAAACAGCTCTATGCAGTTGAAAGGTAATACGAAAGGGAGTTTAGGCGTTTATAACGGACTGATACTGTATCTTCCGCAATTTTTCAACTAATACCACAGATAGATAAAAAATACGGAAAGAAAATAAATGCTTTAGCAAATATTACTCAAAATGAAAGATGTTGAGGGTTGGTATATAATACTCACTAACAGTTTATACAAATACTGCTTCGTCAAGTTTCTATTACAGATAAAGAACTTCTAATCATACCGGCTTCTCAAAACTGTATCGGTCATTATATTCAAACTTTTTAATTAAGAGATCAATTGAGAGACCTTTATTTTACCAAACTTAATTTACTTGATATTTTTATGTTTACACCACATCATTATTTTTTCTGCTCTGACGCCCATGTATCTACCAACAAAAATAAAATATTGAAGCTATGCGGAGAAGTAATCTAAAAAAAACAAGGATTTTCCATAATCGAAGGAGTCCTGGCAATGTGCCATTAGTTAATTTAAGAAGCATTTCATTGTCTTCGACTAGTACTACTACTTCTTCTTTTTCTGCTTTCATTTTTTAAACCGATGCCTCATTGTTACCATCACTAATGACTTTTACAAAAAAACAGATGCTCTCCATATCTGTGTCCGTGCTAACACTGTCAGCTATATCGATAGAGAGATATTATGCCATCTGCCATCCAATGAGATTTGTCAGGTATAAATATTAATTTGAAAGCTTTTAAGGCGAAAGTTTTCATTAAATTAGATCAAGTACAAAAATTTAAATAGTGTTATACCATATGAATATTTACACAGTAATTCTAAAAGAGTAAAGTTAATCATTGGAATTATATGGCTATTGGCTAATCTTATATCTCTACCAGAATTGATTTTAGTGGAAACGTTTTCAGCGTTTCCACCAACGGTGTTAAAACATATTTC